CCAAAGATCAAAGGTCAACTTCCCTGTGACATCATCATGTTCTGCAGAAACACTTATCTGGACATTACTTGACGTCTTAACTCAGTTGGTTGATGCAATTCCAACATAGTTCATATACCAAGAAATAGACTGATGTGCTGCACAGAAAGTTCACAGCTTTTAATTTTAATGTACTTTAACATGCAAAGTGTGACTAACATATACAACTGTCAGTGTCATGAAATAGCATCACAATACAGATATGGAAATATAATGAAATACACTTGACACAATTACACACACCACAATAAACCAGTACATCAAGACATTTTGGTATTTTACAATTGAAGAACCTAAAACTGGGTGAAGCTCTTCTTTTATCCAGCAGTTAATCTTTATGTGCTTTATTAGATGGGCAGAGGAGATGTCAGGAAGGAGGGTCGGACTTGTTGGATTCAGCTGTGATCGTTTTTTACTTACCTGACCTTTATCCTCCCCTGCCCTCTCTGAGCCTGCAGATCTGAGGCGCCTCAGCCTTTGGCCTCAGATATCTGAGGCGTATGAGGCGCTGGACGGCGGCGGCGAGCTGGCAGCATGTTTCTTATGGAAAGGCCAGAGCGTTTTTGTCATCTCTTTTTGTTTGAACCTCGGCTGGGGGAGAAATTTGCTCAGCACCGGCAAAGATCTTTGGAGCAGCTTTCTGCCCGCCGGACTCGACACGGCTCATCTGCCAAGCACTTTTACACACACACGCACACATGTGCGTACATGCACGCTTACTCACACACACACGTGCACACACACACAGTCTGGTCAGGGAGGCCTCAGTAGCCGCGCATGAACAATCCTTCCCTGCCTGTTGTATACAGACTTTTAGACCCCCTCCCCTCGCTCTGCTCTTTGCTCTTCTTGCTGGCCAAAGGCTCCTCCTCCTCCTCTTCCTCAATCTGAGTCCTCTCTCGTGGTCACCCTACAGTGATCAACAAGGACACGGGATCCTCTGCATGCCGGGCTCAGCTGTCAATGTGCAACATGTACACAAGGAAGAGAACAAAATAAAATATATCCGTTAATTCACTTTGTCACAAGACAAACATTAAATTCAGCCAAGGAAATGAAATCAGAAGCTGCTGTTTAAAGCCTTATTTTGTGTTCTGTATGCCTCTACAGTGCTCACAGTGTGTGCATAAATATAATTCTTTTTAATTTCATTTCATTCATTTATTTAATTGAACAGCTTTGTCTCCTCCTTGACGTGTCCCTGCTGGTCTGCGTGATGGATGTCACATCACATAACTATCTCTGTCTCGTTTGTCTTGATTGACAAAGGTACAGTGATGAAAAATAGCAGAAGGCTGCAACTGACAATTATTTTCAATACTGGATTACATTTCCAATTAATCAATATTTTAAATAGTGAAAAATGCCCATTATAATTTGTCAGATGACTGACTGGTGATTGTTTTATCAGACCAACAGACAAAAACACTCAAATATTGAGTTCATTGTGATATATGACAAAGACATAAATCAAATCTTCATATCTGATGACCTGGAACCAAAGAATAGTCACTGAAATAATTAATAACATGTCAGAATAGTTGCTGATTAAGTGTTTAATCGACCAATTGATAAATTGACTAATTATTTCAGCTGTGAAACACCAAACAGACTTTGGAAAATAAAACTGCTGGAATTAAATAAAATATTCTGTGAATAAACCTTTATTGTGTCAGAAAAAGCAGGAAGCACTGAGCTCAGTTTAAAACATGTATTATTATTATTTTCAACAGTTTCATGGTCATTTATTAATTCTTTCATTTATTTTTATGCCTCTGCGCCAGCGATGCTCTCGACCAGAGACATTATGTTTTCAGGTTGTCCCATTACTCCAGCTTCTGTGTATTTCTTTCACCTGAGCATTTTTGTTATTCCATTACTACAAAATAAAATCAGATGGTCTGGAGAATCAGCGGTCTGAACTAAACTAGTGCTGTCAAAGCCACAGTGAACTTTGGATTACCAGTAAGGTTCCCGCTGCGTGTCAGATTAGATGCTACATGCTAGTCGAAAATGAGACTGGCGTCATGATGGAAGCAGAAAATGGCGTCCCACAGCAGAGAGAGTAGTGAAAGTAGAGAGTAATGATTAAAGAAGATAGCGATGTGCGACAGCTAACTGCACGGTGACTGCAGTGTGTCTGCCCTGGACCATCAGAGGTTTTCTTTAAATCCTTTAAGGTGTGAAGAGGACCTCGTTTTTCCTCCAAATGTGATGTGCGCTCCATTTTTAAGGCAGAGAACATGTTAAGAAGAATTTTATAATTTAAAAATTTATAATCTTGTCTTTATTACCAGCATTTACTCACTAGTTTTACTTCCAATACTTGATTACATTTAACATACTTAAAATACTTTTGATACTTAAGAACAGTAACTATCAGATAGTTTAAGTTATATTCTATTAACTGACTTTAACTTTTTCCAGTCATTGTCTGGTCAAATATCTGTTCCTTCACTCAGGTGTGGTTTTCAGGTTCTTCATCCACCACTGGTCTCTGTGCATATCCTCAAATTCTATCTATTTATATCCTAATAAACAAATGTTAGGTCCCCGGTCCAGGGGAACCGAGTCATAACATGCTGTGACTCGCCACTCTTCCCATTCCCAATGAAGGCCTGTTACACAGTGTTTCAGACGACAAAGTAAGCAGTTTATTTGGCTTCAGAATTGAGCAGTGCCCCGAATAACAAACAAAATATACTCACAGACCCTGAACCTCCCTAGAGAACGAGAGAAAAGAACATGGCAGTGCAAAACAAGAAGGGATTCTCACTCTGACTAAAGCTGCTTAAAGGGCCAGTGTGTAATATTTGGCATGGTTTATTGTCAATCTGAATCTGAATCTGAATCTTCTACCCATTAATATGTTTATACAAGTGTATAATCAATATAAAATAAAATTATTTTTGTTTTTGTAGCCTTATAATTATGCTTTTATATATATAGCAAGGGCCTTGCATTAGAGAGGTCGCCATCTTGCGCCGCCATGTATGTACGGCAGACCGAGCGGACAATCCAGCCAGCCAGAGAACGCGTTTCGCGTGTATAAATGAACCAACGAAGACAGCAGAAGGAAGGAAGAAGGAGGAAGAAACAGCAGAGAGTGTTATTAGTTCGTCGATAGAGAGTAGTGAGAGCAGTTTTTTTTAGATATAAAGTTTGCGAATGGACCACACTTACCACGCAACAGGAGAGAATGAACCCGAACTGTCATCTGCGAGGAAAAGAAGACGCAACTTCACTCCTTGTGATGCACTCTCTGCCGCGCTTTTCCTCCTGATGATATATCTCCCCAATGATGGTAGCAGTAGCACCGAATCCCATTCTGTGCATTCAGCCTCTCTTCTTGCCCGCTCAGCATCAAACACGTGGAGTTCCTCATCTGTATGCTCCGGCTCAAACAGGTATGGCTCTGGGTCTGTGTCTGCTACAAGAAACTCTTCAAAATCGCGTTCAAAGTCGTCCATTGCAGCTACTATAGTCCGGAGATATTGCTAGGCTAAATTAGCAGCTGAGCTCTGTTTACCGGCCACGCTGTCAGTCAGTGTGCGGGCTGGAGGTTGGTGGAGCAGAGAGGGGAGGGGGTCCCCACTTAGTATGGTAAACGAGTATGTGTGTATGAAGTGTGTCTGTTACGCTAGAAGAGTCAGAGTTTGGGACGGAGTCTTTTACCCCCTGGAGTGTTACCGGAGTTTCTGGAGTGCTCAAATAAACCGGCCTTTTTCCTGAATGCTCCTCTGGTCTCCTGCTCGTGAGGGATTCATTACAATATCGTAACATGGTTTAGATCTCTAAATAAACATTCACCTCGTCGCTAGATAGACCTACTCCTGAAAAACTCGTGCGCAAGGCTTTTTGTCCCTACAAGGCCACCGTCATTTACCCGACGGGAGGGGTGAGCGAGTGAGCCCTGCAATCTAGAATTTGACCACTGATGTCACTGTTGTCAACCCATTTTACACACTGGCCCTTTAAAGTTCTGTTTACAGTGCTCGAACAAAAGAATACAAGAAAACCAATTAATAACTCTAAATAGTAAACTCACCTACTAAACACTGATCAGAAAACCTTCCTAAATATCAAAGGTATCAGCATACACACACACACTAGTTTACAAAGTCAGAAGTTTGACCTGCAGGTACTCAAACAAATTCACATTAACAGTTCAGAGTACCGGCTTCTGTGGGAGTGGCAGAGGTGAAAGAAGGGAAGAGCATCTGTCAGCTGGCGTTTAAAAATCTTCTGTCATGCCTTGGACCAATCTGGTGACAGGAGTCTCTGCTAATTGTCCAATCAGCGAACATCACCTGCCTTGCAACATCCAATCACACTTAACCACATGTAGACACTGTGAGGGGAGGAGAGAGAACATTTGACAGATCACTGCTTCGAAAAGTAGATCTCAGCTGAACACAGAGTAAGACACATTATATTGAACATAATTCACTAAACCCAACTCAGTTTTTATCATCATTAAAGTACATAGTTTTGGTTTAGTCCATATATCATCAGCCCCTTTGTCGGCAAACACAGATTCTCTAAACAAACCAATATGAAGCTTTGTGTTAACAGAAGCGTCATAAAACAGAGTTACAAAACATGTGCATAAACCTTCAGACCAAGAACCAATAATAAGATAGATAAGTGTTTATCCCAGATAAACATTTATCTCGTCAGCCTACTTTCATCCATATCAAGTAACTGATTCAGTGACTGAGATAAACACATCTTACAACAACCTTCATATGATTTACACAAGTTATTAATCAGTGAATCTAACAGGAAACACTCTGAGTCTCCATATTGGGAAAGTTAAGCTCTTTTTGTGTCATGCTACAACCTGACATGCTGAATAAAGAAATGTCAAACACATCCTCCTGACTGTTTCTCTCTGCTCTGCCACCTCTCCATGTTTCTGTATTTCTGTTTCATGTGTTTACTTGTACATGATTTTGCAGGACTTCCTGGGCCAGGCGTTCTGTACGCTGGGCGAGATCGTCGGCTCCCTGGGAAGCCGCCTGGAAAAACCTTTGATGTAAGCAGCACCATGCTCACAACATGCACCAACAAAAAAACACACTCTCTGCTTTTTTAATTACACACTTGTAACATGAGCATCTCGTCCATTCACTTTCAGTTATATTACTGTAATCAGAGATCCACTGACGTCAGGTGTTCAGGTTCAGGTTTTTAAATCTGTTCGTTCAGTGGTATTAATTAAAAATCAACATGTTATTTTAGGATCACTTGCCGCTGTTTGAAGGGAAGCGATGCAGGGGCATGAAAATGAGGCAAGATGTTGATGAAAGCCAACACTGTCTCCATCAGCCAAATGAGATGAATCGTTAAACAGCAGCGGGCCTAATGACACACTGTAAACATGCTGAGATGGGAAACAGTGTGTAGTGAAAAGGGACAGTTCACCCAAAGGGAAGATGTCAGCGGCCAGCTTCCGGCTCCTTTCCGAAGAAGTCTAAACTGAACTGAAGGCTCGGCTGAACCCTGAAGAAATAATCACAGACATTTTCATCTGAAATAATGTCTAAGTTTTGCTCTCTATTACAACAACAAAAATCAACCTGTGGCCACGACATGAAACCTTTGACTTCTGCTGCTCTTTGTGTGGTTGGTCTGAACTTAGAAACATCCTCTGGGACACAGGAAGTCTTCCTCTCACTCTTTCCTTGTTTCCAGTCACTCTAATACCAAATATTTAATACTGACAAAAATTAAAACATCAGTTTGTTTGACATAAATAGAAAGGGAACCAAGCAGTCTATGTGGCAAAAGATAGAAAGAAGTTACCCACAGAAATACAACGAAGGTTTTGATGTTACACAAATACAGATTAAACTGAGACTTCTCCTCTGACTCAGAGTTGGACTGAAAAGCAGTTATCAGTAAATCAGTGATTTCTCAGAATGGACTACAGACTGTATAAAATAATCGACATAGCTACTGTAACGTCACCCATCGGTTTGTGGACTCCCATTTTAAAGCCTCGAGTTCAGGTTATCAGCCGTCACCATCTTGGTGTTTTGGAGCCAGAGGTGACTATATTTGGGTGAGAGGGTGGAGCTGACTGTTCATAGAATATAATGGAGGTGGGCGTGTTGACATGCGGCGTATGCCGGCCGTGTGTGTTGTACTTAACTGTAAGCCTCAATAAAATCTAAACGGGTGAGTCATATAAAAATTTAGCCCCTGTACAGTTGTCATGAATGTTGAAATTAGCTACAGAGACCAAAACTGTTTTTTGTACCAGACTGTAAACATGTTTATTTCTGTGTTTAACATGGGGGTCTGTAAGGACTGACTCACTCTTGGAGCCAGCCTCAAGTGGACATTAGAAGAACTGCAGTTTTTGGTACTTTTGTGCTGGCTTCATTTCGTCAGCCCCTGATGTTAACACTCCGTAGCCTATTACCTACTTTAAGCTAAATGCTAAGTTAGCATGCTAACATGCTGATGTTTAATATTTTATATTTATTTAATATATAACAGGTTTAATATTTACCATGTTTACGATCTTAGCCTCATGTGTTAGCATGCTAACCAGTGGTGAAGTGGAGGGTATAACTACCTATCAGCCAAAAAGCCACAGGAATATACAGGAGAGTATACCTACTTCCTCCTTTTTTATACCAGACTGTAAACATGTTTATTTCTACATATTAACATTGGGGTCTGTGGGGACTGACTCACTGTTGGAGCCAGTCTCAAGTGGACATTAGAGGAACTGCAGGTTTTGATGCTTCAGTGTGGGCTGTCCATAGCATTTCCATAAGTATTAAAAGTCAGGATACCTGCAGATCCTTAACAAGTCTTAAAACATCTAAAATGTAGTTTTTGATATTTGATTGAGGCAGAACAAGTGTGTCTTTTTTTTCCTTCAGTTCATGTACTCATGGACAAGAGGCTCGTGCTCGTGACAAGACAAGATGTAAACATCAATGGCGTCTTCCTCGACTGAGCTGTAATGTTAGTTAGTGCAGTGATGCTAGGTGAGCTAGCAGTAGATGCAGGCCTCCTTCTCGCAGTGATACGGTTGGTGGGTGTTGTTTAGTAGAAAGAAAATAGTTCCTACCTGAAACTGCTCACTTGCCTGGGTCCAGACCTTTAAGTTCTCCCGCTCCATCGAGCTGATTCGTCTGGCTTCTTGATTAGAATAAAAAATGCTCCAATCAGAGTCACAGTCAGGAATGCTGTTGTCAGTGCTGTTGTTAAATGGTGTGCTGCAACCAGTGAGGAGCAAGATCAACAATGGCGACTACTGTATACAAGATAGATGCTTCTATTGAGGCTGTTCTAAATCAACATGTCCCCTCCATATTGCCTGACATCGTAATTTCTATTTACTCTGCTGCACTGTTCTTAACCCCCCCCCCAGACAATCCTGTCTGATATTCTGTCTGATACAAACACAACATCTGTGGATTGTCTTCAGTAACAGGTCAGGATTTCTGGAAAGAGACGTTGATGTTAAAATGTTCAGATGTATTTTTTAGCACTTTGAGCTCCAAAAGCTGAGTGTAATCTAGTTCCATTATACTGTAGAGAAGGCAGACATCTCTACAGTTGATATCTCCAACACGCAACTCACTCCAAAACTTTCTACACTGATAAACAGCACTACAGGTGAGAGGAAAAATAAGGTTTAAATTTCGTATTGAGCCGTCCCTTTGAGAGAACATCACTCTCTTTGCAAACTTAATTTAAACCAGCAAAGTTATAGCCGGCAAGATTTATAAATATATTATCTCAGCTGCACTGTAACTATCCTCTAACACACACACACACACACACAAACACACACACAAACCCAGCAGAACTCTTCTCCAGTTTACTGAAGAGAACAATTTGTTGTTGCTTTTGTTTCCTCCTGAGGCAGCGAGCCATTGGTCGTCTGACCCTCGCCTCGTACCCCAGTGGTGTCCAGCGTGTGTGTGTGTGTGTGTCTGTGTGTGTGTGTCTGTGTGTGGCAGAATCAATGAGCAGTTGCAGCTGAATGGGCCCGCTGAAGAATGACACACAAGAAATATGATGTAAGAATGTGTTGCTGTCGCTGAGTTATGTAATCACCTCGGCCTGCAGTCATTCACTCAGATCTGTGTGTGCTTGTGTGTGTGTGTGTGTGTGTGTGTGTATGTGCGCCTGTGTGTCCTTACATTTTATTTTTATCCCCCTCTCTTATTTTAGATACGTGATGATATTTTTAGTAGTTTCTTGTTCTGACACACTTGTTATAAGTTTGTACAACTTTGTGTTTGTGTGTGTGTGTGTGTGTGTGTGTGTGTGTGTTCAGTCTGCTGCCTTAAAGTGTGAAACACACAAAGTCACACTTGTGCTCAGTGGAGTGGAGGCGGATCACAAAAACAAAGAACAGCAGAAACAACTGATGTGACAATATGCTCCACACATGCGCACACACACACACACACACACACACATCTATTCTTCATAGTCAGATTATGTCACGAGTTGACTATGATCTAAATGAACTTCATTTCACAGCGTGGGTGGGAGGGTGACATGCAGCAAAGGGCCACAGGCTGGACTCAAACCCGGGCCACTGCGGCAACAGCCTTGTACATGTGGCACCTGCTCTATCCACTAAGCCACCGACGCCCCCTCTGCCCTCTTTCTAACCCAACATCTCTCAGGTCCTCAGACCAGCTGCTCCTGGCCGTCCTGCAATCGAGACTAAGGGTGAAGGGCGATTGTGCATTTGCAGTAGCCGTCCCAAAACTTTGGAACAGTTTATCCTTTCAGCTTTTGTTTTATCTTTGACATTTTATTTTCAGATTTCACTTTTCTGAGCTTTATTTTCCTTTTCACTTGTTTATTTATGCATATTTACTTCTCTGACGTTCGCTGTTACCATGTTCTGTTATTTTACTTATTCTATTCTATGGTACAGCACTTCGGTCGACTCTGGTTGTTCCAAATCTGCTTTACAATTAAATTAGATTTGATTGATTTGATAATATGTTTCATTTTGTGGTGCAAAGTTTGTTACGATGACCTTTAATGTCAGATAATTAATGATTAATATAATTAATGGCTCAGATCAGCTGTAAAGCAGAGTGATACATACAGAGTTAAAAGTCCCAGTGCTGTTATACTGAATATCAGCACTCAAATACAAATACAAATGCACATGTAAAAAAAAAAAAAGCCTGTTATTGAATTCAATCCTGAGTACAGTGCAAGCTTGTTATTTATTAAAATGTTGCTTTATCAATATATAATATGTCAGCTTTATTAGAAATATATAAGATATCGATCTTGGTCTGACGTCTCATTTCAGTGGAAACATGCTCTGATGTTTTCAGCCTCTCGTCCACTCCTCCATCTTTCTATGACTCTGTTCTTCCTCTTCTCCTTCTTGTTCCCTCGTCTCTCTGCCATGTTTCCATCTGCCCCTCACCGAGCCGTCTCTCTGCTCGTACAGTGAATTAATTTCACTGAATGCCTCCCCGTGCATCAAAGGACGGCGGTGTGTCTCAGGTGACGGGGTGGTGGTGGGGGGAGGAAGTATCAAAGCCTTGCTCCAATTTGCCGTCCGTTTCCCCACGTCTCTTCTTGTGCTGGACAATACTTATCCAAATGAAATGATCTCTGCCACTTCCTGGTTGTGAATCCGGCCTGCGGTCTGTGGCATTCATGAGTCTATTTTTAGTGGTCAGTCTCCCTCGGCTTTATTGGCTATTCCGCTCCAGCAGCTCAGGATGTAAACAAACTCTGCAGCTGAAATGTCACTGGATCTGCTTATATTATGTTGATGTTAGTATTTTTTTTAAAGGCTTTCATTCAGCATAAATTAATATTTATTCAGACAATCAGCCAAACAAATGAGACTGAGAAGAAGAGGAAAGATTCCAGGTCTGCAGGCATCTGCAGCTGGAAGAATTTTACATTGTGTGTTTTTCTGAGTGACATTTTAACCACAGAATAACCTTCTATCTTATAGAGCCTGATTATTAACGACATCAATACTTCAGTCTGTCTGAAGCTGCGATGTGTGGAGGATGAATGCTACATGTAGAAAAAGACATTTATCAGTATGAATCTGGAAACATCAGACTCAATCTCAGTACGACAAAATGCAAAAGCTGCTGGATGGATGATACCAGTTAGTTGGGCTGTGATCCTGATCAGATGTTGAACCACCTCAACATGAAGGAGCAGCGGCTCTACTCCGAGCTCCCTCCAGATGTCTGACTCCTCCCCCTATCTCTAAGGCTGAGCCCAGACACCCTACAGAGGAGACTCATTTCTGCAGCTTGTATCTGTGATCTCATTCTTTTAGTCACTACCCAGAGCTCATGACCATAGGTGAGGATTGGGACGGAGGTGGACCAGGAAATGGAAGCTTTGCCCTCCAGCTCAGCTCCCTCTTCACCACAGCAGTCGGGCGTGTTGATAGTGTGCCAAACAGCTGATCCATCTCATGCTCCATTTACCCTCACTCGTGAACAAGAACCCAAGACACATAAACTCCTTCTCTTGGGGCAGTAACTCTCTCCCAACCCAGAGGGAACAATCTTTTCTCTGTCGGAGAACCATGACCTCAGATTTGGAGGTGCTGACTCATCCTGACCGCTTCACACTCAGCTGCAAACCGCCCCAGGTCATGCTGAAGGTCACGGTGTGCTGAAGCCAACAGAACCACAGCATCTGCAAACAGCAAAGATGCAATTCTGAGGTCACCTAACTGGACCCCATCCTCCTAGATCCTGTCCATGAATGTCACATACAGAATCAGTGATAAGGGACAACCCAGATGGAGGAACAACGCCCACTGAGAAAACTATGAAGGACGAAAATGACTAAAATGTGACTAAAACTAATCAGCATTTTCATCTCAAGACTAAATCTAAAATGAAGGGACAATGCAAATTTATGTTTCCTTGAAGTGTGTCTCACCTAACAGGGTTATAAAGTGTAAATAACTATATGGAAAGATTTGGTTTGTTTTTTAGCAGGAGATAAAAAAAGACTGATTTTGGGTTTTTTTTATAAAACTTGATGGAAAAAACATAAAAATGAACTATAATGGGATAAAATTTAAATCTATATATTTTATCTATTATATCTTGCACCACTCAGACAGTTCTTCCCAGTGACTCAGTGGTTTTTCAGACCATTGTTCCACCTGTCATAAACTCACAGTTTGAGGCCTTCGGCTGCTCAGATGTAAAGAGACTGTTTTTCTCCCTCTGTTTTTCCAGTGGTATCCCGGGGAAGAAATGTGGCACCATCATAGTGAGAGCTGAAGAGCTGAGCAACTGCAGGGTAAGAGTTTGTTTTGTTCCCCTGTTGATTCATCTGAAGTCAAACTTTCAGACTTTCAGGTACTTTCCTCTAATTAAACCAACTTTCTGGTTTTTACATCATCAAAAGTGACACGTTAGATCCATCTGCTGCTCCACACAGCTTAAACTGAATAACTCAGAGTGACCAGGAGACACAGTCTGGTTTTAATGAGGAGATTGTCATAAATATCATGAAAATACTGGAAACATTAACAGTTTTATACAAACTGAACTTAGACTTAAGTGCCCTCTTATTAGGTTAGAACTTATACAGTCTAATACAGCAGGCTGCAGTAAGTCCCACCTTCATCCCATTTATATCACAGAGGGTGGACAGAATAATACAAACACCTCTCAGTATAACTCACTATAATTTAACAGCATCACAGACGACATCCTTTTAATGGACATAAAGTTAAATCAGGATATTCTGAACATGATAACCTTCATGAAGGACTGACTGCAGGATTGTTGCCTCTATTTTAGCCAGGTGTACCTAATAAACTGACAGTGTACACACTAATGCAGTCTTATCACTGTTCTCTAAACACTTTCCTTCAGTGCAGTTGAACACTGTATCGCTTTAAGAAAGCACTAAAGACATTATTTGTGAGACACCAACATTGCTATAACACCAGAAATCTGACTTTAATCAGAGAACTAAGCACATTATCTAAAAGTGTAGTTTCTAAAAATACCACTGTACTGCTGCAACAAGAGGAAGCATCATACGCCATCACAGATCCAGCCATACATCCATACATACATACATACATACATACATACATACCAGACGTCGCACTCCACCTCCTCCTGGAGGTTCCCGAAGTGTTTCCAGTCCTTCAGTGTGTTCTGGATCTGCCCCGGGGCCTCCTACCAGTTGGACGTGTCTGGAAAACCTCCAGGAGACGCCCAGGAGGATCCTGATCAGATATTGAACCACCTCAACATGAAGGAGCAGCAGCTCAACTGCGAAATCCCTCCGGATGTCTGAGCTCCTCAGCCGATCTCTAAAGTCCAGTTCAGATCAAAGATTCACAATGAGATGAAACCGTTTTAGAACGTTGCAGAGAAAAGTAGCAGCGGTGTGAACTGGCTGGTCTGAGCTCAACTCAAGCTGGCTGATTTTGTCACCTGCAACTCGGTGGCTGGTTTTAAAGCACGTCACCTGTTTCAATAGCCAATCAGCTTGTAGTGAAGTCCGCTGGTCAAGTCAAAATGACCGCAGACGGGTGTTGGCTTGCTGCAGCAGGTGCTCCTTCCCCACCCAGCCCTCTGTTTCTGTCCTCACGGTGTGCCGGTGTCAGACGGTGGGTCGCTGCTGCTGCTGGCTGTATGTGCTTATGCCCCGCCCACACACACACACACACACATTCTCATTGGCTGATGAATTGGCACTGGTTATTTATATTATTGTGGCGTACTGATTATGAATACAGTCCATCTGATGCTGGTTTTGTTTCATCACTGTAGCAGGTATCTCACTATCACTATCCTCATTCAGATTTTAAGAAGCTACAAATTATATTCAGCCACAAAATAAGTCTGAAAAGCTGCGAATCAGAACGGAAGTACAGAGAGTTGTTGACTAGAGATGATACACCATCTCATGGTGGTCACTTCTTGTCGACGTAACAGATCAGAAGTACAGAGAGTTGTTGACTAGAGATGATACACCGTCTCATGGTGGTCACTTCCTGTCAACGTTACAGATCAGAAGCACAGAGAGTTGTTGACTAGAGATGATACACCGTCTCATGGTGGTCACTTCCTGTCAACGTTACAGATCAGAAGCACAGAGAGTTGTTGACTAGAGATGATACACCGTCTCATGGTGGTCACTTCCTGTCAACGTTACAGATCAGAAGCACAGAGAGTTGTTGACTAGAGATGATACACCGTCTCATGGTGGTCACTTCCTGTCAACGTTACAGATCAGAAGTACAGAGAGTTGTTGACTAGAGATGATACACCGTCTCATCATGAGGTCACTTCCTGTGAACCAGCAGCTTTTTTAGAACATTGTAGAACAGAGCGTTGACAGTGTTTCAGCTCGTCTCGGTGTGAATCTTTGATCTGAACTGGAATTTAGGCTGAGCCCAGCAAGTCTACAAAGGAAACTTTTTTCAGTCGCTTTGATTTGTGATCTCACTCATTCAGTCACGACCCAAAACTCATAACCGTAGGTGATCCAAATCCAGAGTTTTGCCTTCCAGCTCACCTCCTTCTTTACCACAACAGTCCAATACAATAGAACAGATACTTTGCTTTACTCAAACAAGTTCTGTTCCCTTCAACAGATTTATTTTAAATTTTGGACAGAGGAGGTTTGAGTCTTTATTTCTGTTGAAAAAAAAAAAAATCCAGTTAAAACCCCACAGAGGACTGGTTTCAGTTGAAGATGCAGCAGACTGTTTGACACCGAGCGGGACTGTGAGACTTTGTCTGTTTGAATTTTTCTTTCCATCAAAGGGAAACATAATCACTTCAAACGTTTGGACATTTCTGGAAAAGTACCTTTGCCGTTCTGGGCCCATTTTGTCGTTTGATGGTGTCTTTGCCGGCCGTATATGTATCACTTCACAACAAGATGTTTCCAGTGACGCTTGAGAGCAGATTCTTTTCTGTTAGGTCAAAGAATGACTTTCCTTCAAATCAAAGATGAAGAGCTCTGCGCCCACACTGTGCACAGAAACATCTCAGGAGAACTCCAGTTTCTTTTCTGTCAATACACAATGTGCCAGAATCGATGCAGCTGTTAGAAAACTGTAATTATGTTCGTCTCCCAGTCATCCAGGGAAACAAAGGAAATTGCTTAATTAAGAAGTGGAACAAAAGGGAAAGTCATCGTACCAAATAACTTACAGCACTGTTGAAAAATACATCATTAATTACAGATTTAAGAGGATATCATGGTAATAATATCAGAGTGTTGGAGGGTGTAATTAAGCCTCATGATCTCCATTTAATATTCTCTGTTCTGGGAGCAGGTGAAGATTGAATTTTAATATGGTCCCAGGACTCAGTGGAAGAAAATGTAAAAAAAATTGTACAAATATAATGTGTGCAGTCATTTTAATTGATGCAGAAGTGATAACGAATGACTGTACCAGTCCTACATTAGAGTGATAAGATCAGAAAGATTGAATCGACTTTTAAAAATCAGAATTATTCTCCAAAATAAATCTATAACAGAATGAATCAATAAACAACAGTATCTAATATTATCTGTCGTGAATGCAGCCACATGTGTCACTTTATATGGCCTGAACGTTGGTATTGTTATATTTTACATGTACTTCCTTCCTTCTGTTTCAGGAGTCGGTGATGCTTCAGTTTTGTGGGAACAAGCTGGATAAGAAGGACTTCTTCGGAAAATCGGATCCTTTTCTCGTCTTCTACCGCAGCAACGAAGACGGATCGTAAGTTGACAGGCAGCTTCCTCCTCGTGGTATTTGTGGATGTCACTTTGCTGAATTAACAAAAGCAGCTGTCTCACAAAGAAAAAAAGAAACACACATACAGCACGTAAAGACGCCTGAAATGCATATAGACATTTTTCATGCTCCAAAAAGCTCCCATACAGAGGATATAAGGTCTGAACCGCCTCTGTGATGTTACGTAACTCTAGTCGCTGTATATGTGACTTCTGCCGTCCAGACGTTAACAGGAGAAAGCAGCAGAAGGAGGGATGAGCAGAGATAATAGGACAGAGTTGACAAGAGGAACATAAAGGGAGAAAGGATGGATAAGATGGAGTTAAGTGAAAAATGTGTGTGGAGGTCACACTTTCTTTGCCCCGCAGATGCTTTTATTCAAGTCGACTTCAGCGTCTTAGTGAAGACACACATTCTCTTGTTGTGCAGCTGGGTATTTACTGATGCAGCCTAAATGTTCAGCCGCAGGGTAGAACAGCAGCACGCCGTGCTCACAAAGAGCCCGACTAGGTGCCACATCAAAAAGAACAGAAAGCTGTTATTTCAGCCAAACATCAGGCTTTATCAAATACTGTTAGAGTTACACTCCCCTTAACCCATCAGTGCCTGCATCTTAAGATTTTATATTTCCCTTTGAAGGAAGTTTCCTCCGGGCCTGACTTAAAGAAATAGATAAGAAGGAATTTCCAAAATCAGTCAAACTGTTTGGCTGGAAAGTGACTTTCCGTTATCATACTGTATTAAGAGTTTGGGCACATGGGACTACAGTTTACTGTGTATGTCATTATATTTTAGGAACAAACTGTCCCACGTCCCCAAAGACTGAATACAGTATGATGAGAAAGTGACTCAGAAACTACAAGGAGCACAACCAAGTATTTTGGTTTCTCTGAACTCATAACAAGTTGAATTGCAAAGATGTGCACACATGTACAGTCTAAGAATAACATTTCATATGGAAAACATTAAGTAAACACATCAGGTTTTTTTTGTCATCTTTCAAAAATCCAGACTTGGAAGTTTGATTTTTCATGTGATCTAAACATTTTGAAGTTGTACTGTTACAGTGGATTCTTTTACAAAGTATGTCTGTATCAGGGCTGGACGATGTGGTCAAAGATGTTATCAAGATGAAAGTTGTCATATCAGTCAATATCGATTATCTTAAAAAGCAAAAATCTTTTTTTTTTCAAGTTTAAAGGCTGATTTTTGCCCCTGAGTGAAAGTTGAAGAAACCAGAAAGTTAATTGGTTTGAAGTGTTATTTACTGTCGGAACACGACAAACACTAATCAGTTATAATCAAAATAATATCAATAAATAAAACAAAAATAGTAAAACGAATCTTAATTTTTGATCAGCAGCATGTCATGTTCTGGTACCTGTTGTTCTGGTATCTGTCGTTCTGGTACCTGTCGTTCTGGTATCTGTTGTTCTGGTACCTGTTGTTCTGGTATCTGTCGTTCTGGTACCTGTCGTTCTGGTACCTGTTGTTCTGGTACCTGTCGTTCTGGTACCTGTCGTTCTGGTATCTGTTGTTCTGGTATCTGTCTGTGCAGATGGAAACCAGCCAGTCACTACTGTTAACAAAACACATTTAAAATCAGAGATCATTTTTTGACAACCGGAAATGGATGACTAAACGTGATTTCAGTCTTAAAGGTAAACTTGTCATTGTTAATATTTTTGTGTGTCTCACTCTCAGGTATACCATCTGCCACAAAACAGAGGTGGTGAAGAACACTCTGGACCCGGTGTGGCAGGCTTTTAAGATTCCCGTCAGGGCGCTGTGTAACGGAGATTACGACAGGTACACAAGGAAACAAACACAAACATTTCACTGACCATCTTTACACTTATACTGATGTAATAAATGAAAAAACTGAGCAGTTTTGGTGTAGAAACAATTGACATATATTGGACACATACTTGGAAAACTTCTCTTTAATTTCTCTGGGTCTTTAATGATGTAATCACTAAGATTTGGCTCTGTGTCTCGTGGCAGCTTTGCTGGCACATACCAGACTCAACATCTGTTAGATAACGGATACAGTACGGAGGAAAGAAGACCTGCAGCTGCCTGTGACAGTGTTTAACCATCCAACATTTCTACATTTTATATAAATAACTACTGACACCTTATTAGGGAGACTGTGCCAATTTTCAACCAGCTCTGTGTCATTGCAGCGTGGGTAGTTGAACAGTCATCAATGACACGCTTCCTGTCACCTGACGGACTTTTGCCGGCAGATGAGTGGGGAGCTCTGGGGGCTATCGGCATAGGAAGAAGCTAAACACTGTTTATCTGCACATGCAGTGATGACACAGAGCTGATGTGCTGGTTGGCTGCTCTGTGGTGTGTTCAGGTGCAACTTTTTAGTTAAGACACGTGATGTGAGGCAATGCAGGAGTCAGCTTTCGTTGCCACTAGTTCTCTCAGTTGCTAGTCAGTTTGGTGTGTCTGGGCCTTAAGACTGCATTTGTTTTAGCAAGGTGTACCTAATAAACTGGCAACTGAATATACTTAAAAATACGGTATTATAAATGTTCTCTTAACACTTTCTTTAAGTGGATTTGAACACTGATACTGAATCACTACTCATTACAGTCTGGCAACTGGTTGCTTCCTTTTTATAAAGTCCTGACCTCACCTGTGTGATGTGACCAGGAACGTCCCGAACACAGCAGAGCAAGAAGGAAATAAACTCCAGGCAGAGGGCGGAGCTCCTGCAGATAATTACACCACCACACACTGAGAGTAGGTCAGAAGTGATGATGGAGAGGGATTAGTTTTGTTTAAAGGGTTAGTTTGAGATTTTTGAGGTACTTATCTACAGTCAGTGTGTTACCTTCAGTAGATGATGGCCGGCATCAGCAGACAGGCGTCCCTCCAGAGAAGCTCAGCATTACATCACTGTGGGCGGAGGTTGATAGCAAAACGGATTTTAGCCACCTTAAAAGAGACGCACCTAAAGTCTGTCAGTCTAATTGGACTCTAGTCTAATTGGAGAACCTCATATAGCCCCACCTCAAAAATCCTGAACAAACCCTTTATGTTGTTTTTAGGAAAATCCTGCATAGTGTACCTTCAATTCACTGACAAAGACCGCACCTTCAACACCCTGAAGAAAAAACATGACAGATGTGCAAAGCTCGGTCTGCTTGTAGCTCATCCACCATGTGGGGAAACTTTGAAAGGGATCCACCGCAGCACCCAGCCACGACAAACCCATCAGGACCCAACGTAGAGAAGAGGGGAAGATAGGCAGGAGGGGAGGGAGGGCGGAGAATAGAAGAGCAGAACAGGAAGAGTGGGTTGTGCACGTATTTAGAGGTAACACAGCTGCTGCTCCTGAATCCTGCTGTTGACCAGGCACATTATTTTTAACACAGTCAAGGCATTGATAAAACAAGTTCTGAGCTCTCCAATGACAGAAACAAATATTTCCCATAAAAACCATCGGTCACTTTGAACACAAGGCAGCCTCAGTGGTGCTGTGTGCTGTCTGAGCACTTCCTAATTCTTATATATTTTAATCTTTTTCTAATTCTTTTCTTATTTGCTGGGGTGACACCAGGGTATACTGATAAAAACCCTCCTGTCTGCGTTACGTCGGCTCATCCTCTCACTGGAGGACCGCGGGCCTTCCACGGACCAGTTCCCAGAGTTTTAAGCAGGAGGACGTAAATCAGCGTGCTAATTGGTTTTTTAATGGGATTTTCCTTCATGTTCTCATCCCCTGCAGGAGCATTAAGGTGGAGGTGTACGACTGGGACCGAGATGGAGGGTGAGGGAACAACTCTCTTCCTTTTGTCCTGTTAAACTGAGGCGATGATGTGATGATGCTCCATCCATCAGTACAGTGTTAGCAGCCCACTGACATCCTGCTGTGAAATAAACACTGTATACGTTAGACACGAGGCCCCGGGGCCGAGTCACTGCTGTAATTACCTCTGACTTATAGACATCGTAGTGATTCTGTTATTTCTTTGTTTATTAATCTACATGCCATAATGAGATATAAAGATTTACACCTGATGACACTGAGATTGTACGCTCCTAAAAAATAAAATAACTGGCCTGAAAATATGAGAGCATGTGTGCAGAGTAGGGACGGACATTTGGGATTAAAGTCACAGATCACGCTGTCCTTATAATCCCTCTTGTTTTCCACTTTAAATACTGTAGAAAATATGAAGTGATAAAAACTGCTGCTGCTTAAAACCTGCAGCAACTGTTTATACAGCCTGAACGTTCTCCTGACAGAGAATTCCATAACTCCATCGAGTCGGTCGGGGAATAAAGACCATGTTTATATTTAAAGCAGGTGAATTCCTAGTATTCAGGAGCAGTATTCACCCCTTCATTGTTAGTTTCACAGGCCGTTTCTGACATTTCAAGTGCGTTTTGCCCCGAGCTCTCACAAATCTCTGACTCTGATTCCAACAGCGCTAATTATCTCCATGAAATTATGAAAATCGTTGCTATGCCCATGCCTCCAGTAACCAGGAAGCTTGTCAGTGATACTCCTGATTTGTGCTGTGCTTTAACAATGTGAATACACTACAAAGGAATGGAAACATTTTAACTATTATTATGGGATGTTGGATTCTTGTTATTATGGGCTTTGCTCTTTTACTCACTGCAGAGTTTCTCACTGTGACGCTGAACGTGACTGTGTGTTCGTTATTTTACAGCCACGACTTTATCGGCGACTTCAGCACGAGCTACAGAGAAATGTGCAGGAGCCAGTCACAGTTCCACATCTATGAGGTGATGGTTCACACACACACACACACACACACACACACACACACACACTTGTAAATTCATTGTCCTGTAGTCCGTACTTCAGATCATAACCTCTGACCCAGGGACGCACTGATCCTGGGCCGATATGTTTAACATAACAATTGGGTGAACAACAGATACTAATGTTTTTTTGTTGTTGTTGTGTATTTTGTTTTTGTTGTTTATTACCCCTTTTGTGCCATGGAAACAAAGAAATCTTCATTATAAATCAGGAACTGGCAGCAGGGTGTTGGGGAGCACCTCATCACAGCGCTACATTAAGAAAGTGCTGACCGTGCTTTTTGTAATGACGTGCTGGGCTTGGGTTTTGTTTCTATGACAGCAATATCTTGACACTAACATTAGCCAGGTAGCTATCATAAAGCTTCATTAACAGAGGGCTGACACATTTAACTTCAAGGTTACAAAGCTAACGGTGATAAAATTCCAACACTCAGCAGGAACATCGAGAGTCCGCCGGCCGCTCTCCTCCAAGACATGAGCTTCTCTGTCCTCGCAGCTCTGAAAAGTTATGCTGGGCACAGTGCTTTTTCTCCAGGTGGCCTTGTGCCATTTTGTTTACCATCATGTATGTTTCGTCATTTCCACCCTGGGTTCAGCTCTCCGTTCCTGTTTGCCCGTGAGCTGAATTTATCATCAAATCAAATCAAATCAAATCAAATCAAATTTATTTATAAAGCACATTTAAAAACAACCTAGGTTGACCAAAGTGCTGTACAATAAAGGTAAAATCACAAAATAACAAAGTGCAGAGATCAAGATACGTAGTATTGTGATGTATAGTCCCATGTACACAAGTCCAAAAGTAGAGGAACAAATTGGAGAGTGGAAATACAAAAGACTAAAAAAGGGGGATAAGAGTTCAGGAGCGCTCAAAAGCTTTAGAGTAAAAGTGGGTCTTAAGTCTAGCCTTAAAAGTGTCCACAGATGAGGAATCCTTAATGGAGAGAGGTAGACTGTTCCAAAGTTTGGGTGCAGCCACAGCGAACACACGATCCCCTTTGCCCTTTAGCCTCGATCGAGGCACAGCCAGAAGCTGCTGGTTTGAAGATCTGAGTGCTCTGGAATCTAAAAGGGGACATAAGAGCTCAGAAATATATTGGGGAGCCAGGCCACTAACAGCTTTAAAAACAAACAATAAAACCTTGAATTCAATCCTGTAATTGACTGGTAACCAGTGCAGGGATGCCAGCACAGGCGTTATGCTGTCTATTTTCCTTGTGCCAGTTATCAGTCTTGCAGCAGCATTCTGGACAAGCTGCAGGCGTGACAAGGAAGATTTAGGCATTTGTGATGGTTTATGCTTGAACAGTGCTTGAACAGTTTAAATCTGATGTGTTTGAAAATGGCCAGGCAAATGGGGCAAGAAAAAAAAAATCTTTATCATGGATCCTTGAAAAGTTTGGAATTTCTGCCCATTAAAATGAAACAACCTTTGATAAAACCTTCATATAAAAAACACAACTGCTTCACAAAGGCTTTTTACTGTATGAAATATATCATAATTCACTTTCTAATATCTGTTTTATATTGCTGTAGAAATGTCAACAAATTTGTCCTTCAAACAGCCAAAAACGATGTAATGTATAAGATTACATTTGAACACATCAGGAGAACGATAGAATTTACCTTCACCCAGTATTCATCTTTAATGAAAAGAGCTGTGTTTCTTTTCTTGCTCTCGATGTACAGATAGAAGAGAAAGAGATCTGGCTGGAAAACAAGAATAAAAGCACCTTTTGTCATTAAGTTTTGTTTCCATGTATGAACATTTGTTAACATGTAGTTGTGGAAGATAAAAGCCCCACAAATTATTAATTCCTCCTCCATCTTTAATTACAGCTCAGCGCTCCGTACAGCAGCGGGCTGAGCTCACAAAGGTCAGAGCAGCTTGTGTTCAAAATTTTGAACTTTTGGCATCGAGCTGCCCACACAGTGCAGCATGCATACATGAGCTCAGGATCAACATCAGAAATAAAACCCCCAAAGACCGAGAACATGACGGAGGGGGCGTCAGTAAAACTCTATTCTTCACATTAATGTGAACGTACAGTTCCTTTTCTCTCTGCTCCTCTCGTCTCGTGTCCAGAGACACATCATGTATCTTCACTAAAACTGGACAAATACATACATCAGAGTTTGACCATGAACCGACTGACTACTGATTGTAGGAATCTTCCCATTGGTTTACAGTTCATCACGTCACCTTGAACTACTCATTTCAAATGTAGACACACGTACAGTACGGTTGGGGACGAAATACTTTACTTGATTTAAAATATATTTACAGTCTGAGCACTGCCAATGTCTTCCAGAGTCTTCCTCAAGGTGAGCAGGTTTTATCCAATCTGAGAGCTGTTTGTAATTCACCATGACCTCAGGATCACTTTAGATTTGAATCTGTCGTGTAAAGAGCTTTATAAAGGTGGTCAGTAATGTCAAATTCAACCTGGCTAACTTAAGGAGTACAGGATCTTATCTTCTTACAAAACGTCATCAGTGTGCGTCATCCATCTACGTCCTGTAATGGTCAGAGAAAAATGAAAACAAACATGAATGGAGCCGTCGCTATAGCGGCATTTATGTGTCGAAAAATGTCTGAAGAAGAAGAGGAGAAGGAGGAGGAGAACATAGACGTGGCCGTGGCCGGGGAACAAGAGCTCTAAGTGTATTTATTAGCATTTACTAGCATTTAGCATTGTCACACAGATCAGTGCCTCATTTCTATTGGTTCATTAGTAGACGTAGTTGGTTACAGCATCACACAGTCAGAATTTTATCCCAGGCTGTCTTTGATCACAAACTGTGACAACAGCCACCCTTAAACCTCTCTGACTGTGTGACGTAGGGCCACTGTTTTAGAGCCACGACCAAAGATATCGCCACGTTTCTTTGACATCTGACTGAACACAGAGTGCATGTGGGGGACGTCTTTTTTTTTTTTAAAGATATTTTTTAGCCATATTGCCTTTAATGGACAGGACAGGTAAGTGTGAAAGGGGGAGAGAGAGGGGGGATGAAATGCAGCAAAGGGCCACAGGCTGGATTCGAACCCGGGCTGCTGCGGCAACAGCCTTGTACATGGGGCGCCTGCTCTTCCACTAAACCACTGACGCCCCGCATGTGGGGGACGTCTGTCTGTAACTGTGCTCTGACCTCTGGAGGGTCAACAGTGCAACACCCCAAATCACTGAGTTTTACAGTCTGAGCTACAGACACAACGTCCATTTATAAAGTCAAGTTTTATTGACAAACAGCAGACACACACGTTACATGTAAACAATATTATGAATACAAGTGAAGTAACCAAGCTGTGCTGTTAAATCCAGGCAGTAAAAAACATAACACAAGTTACAAATGAGCCTCTGGACGCACCCGTGCTTTGGCGTTCCTTCCAGACCAGAACCAACATACATGATGTGAAAACTCAGCTAACAGATGGAGATCAGATACACACAGACAGACATGTGGACTTTAGCTCCACAATATTCAAACACAAATTTATATTTGAAAAAACCCCTGGATATTAATTTCTACTCACTTTTTACTTACTGTACCTGTACTAATTAGTGTAAACCTGCTGTTCCTGCAGAGTGGACAAATCCTGTCCATATTTTGGATGTTTATTACTGTACTGGCCCCTCGTCGACATGATGATGTCATGATGACAATAACATAGTAAGAGAAAACATGTGTTACAACTGTTATTGCATCACATTTAAGGCGACCCAGCTGTATGTGGTGCGCCTGGTTGATCAAGTAGGATCTCTTTGCATTTTTCCCGTTCACCTTTCAGTAGCAGGACCGTCAAGTCAAGTAACAGTTTGCAAACATGCACCAAGAAGGAACTGTGCTGGGGGAACTAATGTGTTTCCATTAACAGACAGTGAACAAACACATGAATGGTTATGTAACAGGTGATATTTCCCATATTGTCGCAGACATGTCCAAAGCAATAAAGCGTAAGGTTAACAGCGAGGGCTGCTGCTTTCAGGTGAAATGTTAAATACTTTTGCACTGAAAGATGAAACAGCTGCTTTGTCTCATTTGTATGTGTTTCTTTAACAACCCCTGTGAAGTGAGAAGCAGCTGGCCCCGAGTATTTTTATCTAATGTGGCCCCAGTCAGAAAGTTTGGACGCCCCGCCCCGGTGGAAACACTCTCTTTCACCGTCTTTATTCTCAGTGCAGTTCACTGACCTGCTCCATTAATTTCTACACCAGCTGTGTGTGAACAAACCATAAATCAGTGAAGGTCAGGAGTCAGGAGAGGGGCTTACGAAGCACAACCTGAATCACTGCAGAGGCAGGAAAAACACGGCGTTCTCTCTGCACACATGTGATGTAACATGTGACATCATCTCGTCACACTCATGCTGTCTCTGCCTTTTAAAACCTGCTCTGGATTTTCTCCAGGCTAACTCATTCTGTTTAAACTCTTATTTTCTTTATTCTTAAAGGGAAATTTTGGTTTATTTCAACCTCTTTCCTATCGTCCTAAATTTGTTTCAAGTGACTAGTGACATAAAAATAATAGTTAGCATGTTAGCTGTTAGCATAGATACAGCCGGGGCGCATAGTAGCATCAGACCTGTTAAAACGTAAGTGAACGGTCAACCTTCAAGTGCAAAGTTAGTCCACTAAACAAGCTTTTTTTCCCACAAAGACCGCCTCATATCGTTAGGATAAATGTCAGAGATCATATAGAAAACGACATGTAAACGTGTTGTCTTACCTTACCGGTGTGCTGCCATGTTTGTTTACCATTTAGCTCTGCTTTCCAAAGCGTGGCCGAAATATCGCAAGAACAAGCAGCAATCTCATACAGTGCCTGAAATCTTGCGAGCTCTAGATAAAGCCCAGTTGGATACTACTCCAGGTGGAGGTGTCTCGTCCTCGGTCCCATTCCTTGCAACAGAGGCATTCCTCTTCTGTAGGCACTGGGGCACAGCATTCACAGGTACACCACCAATCTCCAGAGCTACGCAGCCTCGCAGCAGCCATTCCTCCTCTCTCGTCCTCTACCTGTTGCGCCTCTCTCTCCTCCTCCTCCGTTCTTCAATTTCACGAAGCTCTTCGTCAGTGTATTCTGGCTCAAATAAATAAGGGCGGCCATCAAACTCTGCAAAATCAAATTCCTCCTCCACAAAGTCGAAGTCTGGCAAAAAGTCAGCCATTATTCTATAAATCTTTCATAAAATAAATGAATGAACTTTTCAGGCTACTGTCCGGTTCTGCCTTCCAGCTGTTGCTGCTTGTTCTCGCGAGATTTCGGCCGTGCTTTGGAAAGTAGAGCTAGATGGTAAACAAACATGGCAGCACACCGGTAAGGTAACACAACACGTTTACATGTCGTTTTCTATATGTTCTCTGACATTTATCCTAACGATATGAGGCGGTCTTTGTGGAAAAAAAGCTTGTTTAGTGGACTAACTTTGCACTTGAAGGTTGCCCGTTCACTTACGTTTTAACAGGTCTGACGCTACTATGCGCCCCGGCTGTATCTAGGCTAACAGCTAACATGCTAACTATTATTTCTATGTCACTAGTCACTTGAAACAAATTTAGGACGATAGGAGACAGGTTGAAATAAACTGAAATTTCCCTTTAATGAAGTGTTTTCTGTAACTCTGCTGCCCTTCACACGTCTGAGGTTCAGACTGGAGGCTGACACTGAAGGAAGTGTGAGTGTTTCAGTTTAAAATACCTGTCAATCAAACTAAACAAGAGCTGTGACATCTGCACGTCCCTGTTACCAACACACACACATGATACAAAATAAAATAATCAGTTCAGACACAAACATGTTGACGTGAACATTTTCTGGGAGAAGTCTGAGGTTTCTGATGGTGTCAGTCCGACCTCTTTTAGAAGCAGCGTCATGTGACGAGTGAAATAAAATAATCAGGATCGTTCACAGCTCACTGAGACGCCACACAGCTGATCAATGCTCATGTTTCCTCCACAGGTGCTAAATCCAAAGAAAAAAGGAAAGAAGAAGAAAAAGTACCAAAACTCAGGAACGGTGAGTCAGCAGTTTATATCCAGAGTTTGTGTGATTTGTTTTTAATTTTGGTCATTGTCTGTAACACCAGCTGCAATGCAAATGAAGTCAGGTGCTTTTCTGCTCTGAGTTGAAGTTTTTTTAACTCGAGATGTTCAGAGCAGCTCCTGCAACAACATGATCTGCATAGAGCAGGAAAACATGAGCTGCTCAGCAATGCAAAAGCAGCGAACAAAAAGCTTCAGTCTCATTGAAAACAATTAGACAAACATTTTCAGGTTGCTGAAAAGCATTCTGTGTGATCGGGGCCAAACAGAGTTTAGAGACATTTAGTATCCAGTGTAGGATCTGTGTCCTAATGACACCGCCATCTTAACTATGCTGTGTGCACTGAAGCAACAGAGGCTCAACAGAAAGCTTTTACCTCTGGGTCCAGACAGTTTGATCTGACCACGTTTTAAACAGGTTTGAATAAGAATCATTAGATTTGTTTTACACAAATTAATTAAAGTCAGAGACATGTATGTGTTTGATGAGTTTGCCGTGGTTCAGTAGTGAAATGAAGTGGCTGTAATGAACTTGAGAATTTAAAATATTGAGAAGCAAAACAAAGAATGATACACAGAGCTGAATGTTGGGGAGACGGACCTCCTGTTTTTATCTCCACAAAATGACAAACTTATGATCTCTGATTTCATCTGAACAGCCTCTACTTATGCTGTAATGTTATAATAATAATACATTTTATTTCTGGGCGCCTTTCATGACACTCAAGGTCGCGTTACAGAGTAAAATACAGAGTGAATTACAGTAAAATACAAAGTACAAGATAATTAAACAATTAACAACAAACAAAACAAACATAAACAAAATATCTACCCACTCAAAGAGAGTAAGAAAGCCTGAACAGGTGAGTTTTCAGCCTGGATTTAAAGTGTGGGAGTGAATCAATATTTCGGAGGTCAGGGGGATTGAATTCCAGAGTTGGGGAGCAGAGCAGCTCAATGCTCTGCTCCCCATGGTAGTGAGGCGAACGGAGGGGACAGTGAGGTGAATAGAAGAAGAGGATCTGAGGGTGCGAGCAGGTATGGTGATAGGAAGGAGGTCGTGGTTGTGGATGGCCTTGTAGCTTAGAAGTTGAAACCGACCCTTGTCTTCTTCCTTCATGTCTCTGACTGTCTTCAGGTCACTCTGCTGTCCTGCCTGGTGGACACTGAGCTCTCCTTCCTGGACTACATCCGAGGCGGGTGAGTTCACCATAAACGTCCTCATATGATTGTGCAGATATTAAACAGCAGCATCAATCAGTCAGCTGCAGTTGTGATGTTGTGTGCAGTCTCCAGAGACTCCGCTGAGAGGATTACCGCTCGGTGTTTATCTCTCAGCTCTGATATTAAGACTGACAGCTGCCGATAACCCGCTGCTTAATTGCTCGCCGCTGCACGCTTTGAAACATGCTGTGGTATAATCTAGCGTGATTGATGGTTCCACGTTAACTCCTTACGTGACTTGTTTTCTCTTGTAGGACTCAGATTAATTTCACAGTGGCAATTGATTTCACGGCATCAAATGGTGAGTGTTTGAAAGCTTCTGCTCTTATCGATGAAAGTGTATCGAACAGATTAAACTTTGGTGGTTATCACTAAGATCTTTATTTGATGTGAAGTCTTTAGTGAAGTCGGTTTTAACTGACTTATTTTAATGACACTTTTACTCAGCCGGAGACAAAAAAGGCAAAGCAGCTAAAAGTTGGACGATTATTTGAACATTATCTTTTCCTCTGAACTTTGTGAGCTCAGTTTGAAGTTCTCAGTTTGTGCCTCAGTCTGTACAGAAACTCATTACACGCATTTTTAAATGACATTTCCAGTTCGGATGGTTGTCACCACATGTCATCAGTGTTTATGAAGCCCCACAGGTAAACTGCTGTACATTCATCAGTGACAGCAATTTAACCACAAACAAACACATTCTGTGCAGAAGCCTTGGTCACAGATGAGGGATGTTCTCATTTCAGTGAGGGATGATTTACTAAGTTAATATATGTAATACGATTTTGGAGACATCTTTATGTCGCAGGAGAAATAGGAGGCTTTGGTTTTTACTGCCATCAAATCCCTTTTCTACGCCCCGTCTCCAGGAACGTCTGAAATAATGGTGATATTATGCAGATAATTACATTACAGTACATTACAAGTTTCTGTTCCAGCCTCGGTTGTTCATATTTGCAGAAGTTTTGTTAGAATATAAAACCTCTCATTCCCTTTATAATATTACACAAAACAGTCCACACACATATTAAAGAACGAGGCCTGTGGTATTCTATTTTCCTTATTTTATTACAAAAGGACTTGAAACAAAAACCAACAATGAATTCATCCCAATATAAACCTGATACATCAGGGCTCCTCCTCTTGCCCCCCAAAACTTGCAAACTAATGCCAGGTACTTCCCACATAAGTTTATGTGACATTAAACATTTGAGTAAAACTGTCAGTCCTGAACCGAAAGTCATTTAATTCAGTATATGTTTTTCTTTTCTTCAGCTTTGGTTATTGTAAAATGTATTTTAAAGGTGCTGTATGTGACTCTGGAAAAAAATGGTTGATATTTCCAGGTCGTCAGATAGAGACACTGGGTTGGTGGTTCAGTTCTGACCACCCAAAGCGTCAATATTTGATGACCTGGAAATGAGTGGCTCACTCCGAGTGGCTCTAAAAAGTCTAAAAAAGTCTTGATCTAATATAATCTTCCTCTCTGCCACAGAGCTCCATTCTTTCTCAGAAAACTATTAAAAACACATTTATGAGCCACATTGTTGTTGTGCGTCACGTGTTCCTGTGTAGTGACGAACATGGGAGCTGTAGTTTATTTTGATTAAATCCCACACACACCATCCTGCTGCTGGAAATACTCAGCACAGCTCCAAATGTGTAAAGCTGAAAATAGTCCCCAACAAATTATCTGTTTTCTCTGGTTTTAATAATGTTTGCTAAAAACTCCAGCTCAGCTGTGTTTACTGAATGACTGGGCCTTTTTTAAAAAGAAGTAACGACATGTGACAGACGGATTTTTAAAGGTTCATCAGAAAGAACTGAAGGCTCTGAAGCTACAGACGGTCTGTGGAAGTCAAAATATAGAACATCACCGGCCTCATCCTTTAATGTCACAACTGTGGTTTTACATTTACTTTCATGTATTTATATTTATCTGTTCTCATTTAGGGACAAAAATAAAAACGAGACAAATGAAGTCAGACTTTAGTTTTTACTGTTTTTATCATCTTCATCATTTCTGAGTCATCACATCTTTATTGATCTGATTCATTAATGATGGTGGGGAGGAGATGTTGGGGGGTCATCAGGTCACTGGGGCTCATCATCTTATTAGTAGCTCCATGTATCTGAGCTTTACTGAACGAGCTGCGGTTCATCTCACTGCCCGCTGAGGTTTGAGGCGACCAGTGAGATGCTTTCTGCCTCCAGAGCAGCTGTGCTGAGGAGACATGTTTGTGTAGCTAAACTCCAGCCTGCATGTGAACCCCCTCCACCCACTCCCCTCCTTTTATATTTAATATGACTCACAGCCCGGGGGGAGCAGGCGTAATTACAGTTTGATGCTGATGTGTGTTATATTGTGTTGAACGCTCGGGTCCCAGGCAACCCGTCCCAGCCCACCTCGCTCCATTACATGAGCCCATACCAGCTCAACGACTACGCCATGGCGCTGCGGGCCGTCGGAGAGATCATCCAGGACTACGACAGTGACAAGATGTTTCCTGCACTGGGCTTTGGTGCCAAGCTTCCACCAGACGGACGGGTCTCGCACGAGTTCGCCCTGGTGAGGAAACAGTTTTCTCTTAATATCATCAAACATGAAACCATCCACACAAATCTACAAATCATTTCTCCTTTTTAAATATAGGCACACAATGTATTGTTTCTGATTATTTCTTTGGTAAGTTGCACAAACTCTGAGCTATTTAGTCTAATGAATAAACCAAATAAGCTCACAAGATCTCAAGAGAGGAAATATTTTTACACTTATTTTTTCCTTTATTAAACAGAAAAATAAAACCGAACTCCTTCTGAATTTAAGTTTCTTTCTTTCACTAAACTAAGACGAGCTTAACTGCCTTGTTGCCTCATCGTAAAACAAAATAAAAGAAATGAAACTATTCTCACTAAAACCATCTTGGTTAGTCTTTCCACTGTTTTAAGAATCACTGACTCTGCTTTGTTTAAAGTAAAACCCTAACTCACCCCTGATTCCCTGCTGTCTCTCTCTGCGTTGTGTGAGTGAGTCTTTCACTGAGTCGTCTAGAAAACAAACTTATCTCTATAGTTTGTTTTTCTCACTCATTCTTCAGAGGCAGAATTTTAAAATTAGCAAACTGAAATGACAAAAATTGCCCCAAATAACTGACCCAAAACAAAAAAACTGTGATGTACTCAGCTTATCACTTATAGCTGAAATAGTCATCTAAACCATAATAACGCATGAACACTTCAGTTTAACTGTGTGTTCCTTCCTCTACTGAAACCTACACAAGGTGTGCAAACACCTGTTCAGTTATTTCACATAATCTTCTTAACCAAACAAAACAATGATGAAGAAGATCATCACTTTCAACAAGGCCTCCGCCGGGTCAGGTTTGGCACGAAACGACGAAGTCATGGTGTGAATGAGTAAAATGATGCCAAGTTGCTGAATGAGGCCGACTTTGTCTCAAACTTTCATCACGACAGACTGATGGACCGTGTTTGGTTTTGCATTGACTCTGTGCGCTGTGTGGCATGATGCAACATATGACCATCAATAAAAAAAACTGCTTGGCTCAATTACCAGCAGCACTGGTTGGAATTTTGCACTTACTGCAAAGACAGTCTGCAAGTATGTGTTGGCACTACCCATGTCAGCTTTTACACCTCTGATGAGTTTGCACCCCTGATAATATATTGATTTACGGCACGCAGAGGGAAAGTGACAGTGTTCTTCCAGAGCTAACTATGCTAAATGCTTTGAGTGTTGAACAATGGAAGTAATAATTTAGAAATTAAAAAAAACAAAACTCCACAGAGATGTCAGCAGCTCTGTGAGGCTGTACGCAGACACAGCTTGACTTAAAGCTACTTCTGGATGTTAATATATGTCTGAAATGACGATGCTGACATTTGGCAGGTTTAATGTGTACTGTGTTAATTTAAATGGATAGATGTATGGACAGACAGACATCTTATTGTCGATGCACAAGTAAGATGAAGTTAAGTTTGCCACTCCCAGACATGATGCCGTAAAACACAGTCAGTAGTCGGTATCAGTCAAAAAGAAAATTGACATTAATCTAAAACAATCTAATATGGTGACAGCTGTCTTTGCTTCAATAATAAATAATAAATCCATGAATATTTAGCTGTGGACAAACAACTAAAGAACTGAACATTTAGTATAACTGAAGCTGACGGGAGTCAAAAAACAAACTGTGGGACAAAATTAAAAATTTCAACTTGATGATGGTGAAAGATGAAAGGTCACGAGGAGTAATGAGGAGTCACGAGAAGACATGACTGTCTGGATCAGATTATTTGTCAGTCCATCGGGTAGATGTGGAATTTGTCACCAGAGTCATTTAGTTGAATTTACTGAGCAACATGAACCAAATTTCCTGATCCTTGATCATCCTACAGTAGATATTTAGATATTTATCGTCTGAAGGGACAAAATGTTTGGACATAAAGATTTTGCAGTGTTAATTTAGGACAACATTAACATCAGGACTGACGGTATAAAAACAAATTGGACTGGTTCTCAGACTGCTGCTGAATATGTCACAGAGTAAATATTTTTAATGGCCTTCACACCAGCTGGAGGAAGTTTGCAACCTGCTTTATTTCTCAAATCAAAATGTGAACATAAAGTTGTATCAGAACTATGTTAACAAAAAAAAACTCTGTAAAAGTAAAGTGAAAACACGCAGCATGGAACCAGACACTTTCATACACAAATGACCAATTACAGGCAACAGTTTCTGGGTGGGTGATGAACGCTGCTGTCCAAAAACAAGAACAAATTCAGCCATTCAGCCAGCGCTCATACTGCGCTGATGAAAGCCAAATGAGCTGGTGAGTTTTTGGCTTTGCAAACACACAACTTTATTTATTTTTATATTTATACTGTCAGTTTTTTCTCCTGCTGAAGAGACAAAGACAGTTTCAGTTCTTTATGACAATCATTTAAAAATATATAGAAATCATACACACTTAGGACACATTAAGGATCTGGGTTAACTGCGTCCTCCATTCAGCACCATCAGTATTCAGCCGTGCATCTTTTCATCCTCCACCCATCCATTCATTCATCCATACAGTACCACTCTGCCAATGTCAAGCGCTGCGGGGCTGTAGACGTCCTGACCACTCCTCAGCCACCCAGATTCCTCTCCCTGCTCTACTGTCACTTCCAGATGTTCCTCCAGAGGCGTTTAAAGTTGCTTAGCGTTGGGTAACAGCTTCCCCAGCGGCGCCAAACCTTCGAGACAAGGCGCACATGCATTAATATAACCATTAAGGATTTAACTTTGTCAGCTCTTAAAGAGGAAGCTGCAGCTGCGAGGCCGCAGTGGGAGAAAGCCACTGCTGAATCCCACGTCATTATGCAAGCTCCATTTACACAGCAAAGGAGTCTCATGTGCGCCGATCGTACTCATGAGCGGCCGAGCAGAGTTAGTCAAGATGCTTTCATACTGAGATAATTAGAAAGCCCAAAACATATGGGAGATTAAATAATGTGTTGTTTCCTTCTTTGATGGATACTTTTGGAAAACTTAAACCCTGTCACCAGACATTAGTTTGAATATGTCTGTCAAAGGATGTGCAGGCTGCAGAGAGACGAAAACACTGCAGCAGATTTGGTTCTTAAAACAGGTTTGGAGCAGGTGGATGAGCTTCTGTTGGGCAAACACGTTCTAAAGTCCAGTTCAGACCAAAGTTCATGAGAAGACGAGTTGAAACAGAAGACTTCTGTCAACGCTCCGCTCTGCAACGTTCTGAAAACCTGCCTGTTCACACCAAGTCAACTAGATGAGACAGTGCATCATCTCTATGCAACAACTCTCTTTACCTCTGTTCTGATTTGCAGCTTTTCAGACTTATTTTGTGGCTGAATGTACACTTAGCGTCCACTTTATTAGATACCCCTTGCTGGTACCGGGTTGGACGCCCTTTTTAATTGGTGTCATAGATTCAACAAGGTGCAGGAAACTTTCCTCAGAGATTTTGGTCCATATTGACATGATGACATCACACAGTTGATCCATGATGTTCCAGCACATCCCAAAGGTGCTCTATTGGACTGAGATCTGGTGACTGTGGAGGCCATTGGAGTACAGTGAACTCATTGTCATGTTTGAGATGATGTGAGCTTTGTGACATGGTGCGTTATCCTGCTGGAAGTAGCCATCAGAAGATGGGTACACTGTGGTCATAAAGGGATGGACACGTTCAGCAACAATACTCAGGTAGGCTGTGGTGTTTAAACCATGCTCAGTTGGTACTAAGAAAATCTCCCCCACACCATTACACCACCAGCAGCAGCCTGAATCGTTGATACAAGGCACGATGGATCCATGCTTCCATCTGAATGTGGTTTTTCCAATCTTCTATTGTCCAGTTTTGGTGAATTGTAGCCTCAGTTTCCTGTTGTTAGCTGACAGGAGTGGCACCTGGTGTGGTCTTCTGCTGCTGTAGCCCATCTGCTTCAAGGTTGGACAAGGTGTTGTTGCTTCAGAGATGGTCTTCTGCAGACCTTGGTTGGAACCAGTGCTTATTTGACTTCCTGTTGCCTTTCTATCATCTTGAACCAGTCTGGCCATTCTCCTCTGACCTCTGGCATCAACAAGGCATTTTGGCTCACTGGATATTTTCTCTTTTTGGGACCATCCTCTGTAAACCCTAGAGATGGTTGTGCTGAAAATCCCAGTAAACACTCAGACCAGCCCGTCTGGCACCAACAACCATGCCACGTTCAAAGTCACTTAAATCACCTTTCTTCATCATCCTGATGCTCTGTTTGAACCTCAGCAGGTTGTCTTCACCATGTCTACATGACTAAATGCATTGAGTTGCTGCAACATGATTGGCTGATTAGCTATTTGCATCAACGAGCAGTTGAACAGGTGTACCTAATAAAGTGACTGGTGAGTGTAGCATCAGATGAACTGTATTCTTAATCAGTACGCCACAATAATATAAATAACCAGTGCCAATTCATCAGTCAATGAGAATGTGTGTGTGTGTGTGGGCGGGGCATAAGCACATACAGCCAGCAGCAGCAGCGACCCACTGTGAGGACGGAAACAGAGGGCTCAGCGGGGACGGAGCACCTGCTGCAGCAAGCCAACACGCCGTCTGTGGTCATTTTGACTTCACCAGCAGACTTCACTACAAGCTAATTGGCTGTTGAAACAGGTGACGTGCTTTAAAACCAGCCGTCAGACATTTTGATCAGCTGAGTGTCAGGTGACACCATCAGCCGGCCTGAGTCAAGGTCAGGCCGGCCAGTTCACACTGCTGATACTTTTCTCCGCAATGTTCGAAAACGGTTTTGTCTTGTCGTGAATCTTTGGTCTGAACTGGACTTTAGAAAAATGCTCAGAATATTTTATAACTTCTTAAAACAAATGTAATCTCACAGCAATAGATTTTCACCAGAATACTTCTCCTGGTGTCCGTTCTTCATGCAGAGTTTAAAGTGTGAAACGACCAGCCTCAGGATGCTCTTTACTGCAGCAGGAGAATTAAACTGTCAGCATTTCCCTAAAATATGTGGAATATTTGAAATGTAAGATTGGATTTTACATCTTTCAGGGCCTGTGAGTCTCCAGAGCCGTTTATACTGGGTAATAATTTCTGATAATATTGGAGTATTATTGATGTTTTGGCCCTGGGGGGGGGCATTTTTATGTCTCTCAGTATGCATGTAATCGTGTTTCCTGCAATTTTCAGCCAAACAGGCCTGTTTGGAAAATAACATGTAATTCCATCCCAGCCTTTTTCCCATAAAGAGATATAAAATCTACAAATACTTTGTTCTCTTCTCCCTCTGATGATTTTATCCGAGAGCTACGCTGTGTCTGAATATCAAAACAAACTGTACCAGTTTAATTCTAACTTTGATGCATGGTGTTAAAATGTGCAAACAGCAGGAGACGCAGTGTCGGCAAGTTTTTTTTAATTGTCCCTGAATTTAACATATTTTTTAAAGTATTATGTAGCTGACATTAAATCAATGACGAGACTTGCTGTGTGTAAACTGACTGTTAGCTGGTGGCGTATAGAGACACCTGAAACAGGAAACCAAAGATACTCCAGCCTGAGGAGAACGTCTCATCTTTTTAAATGAGGTTTGGCTTTTTTTGGAGTTCCAGAAACGACATTAAAGAGTAATCAAACTCACACGCAGCACGATCAGGACATTGTCTTTTAATTTGCCTCATTGCAAAGAAAAAGAACTTTGTGTCTGCGTGTTCAGTTTGAAGTAAAGGTACAAAGTGAGATTAATAAAGACCAAAAGCTTTCTGACTCTGTGGAAGAACGTGGCAGATCTGTGCTGCAGCAGCTGTTAGGAGACATTTATCCCTGGTTCAACAGAGCTCGTACTGACATGGGGATCAGTCGAAACGAGAGGTTCACTTTGGAGTTAACTGTTAAAATCTACTCTTTCCCGAGCGCACACGGCCCACATTTATTGATCTGCTTTCAGACAGTCACAAAATTACATCATGAATTTAAATTACATTACATTATACTGAAAACTCCAAGGTCACTGTGACCTTGTCTGTCACATTCTCACAAATGCAATGTCAGAAACACCTTCATGAAATTTCTTTAAATTTGGCACAAACGTCCACCTGGACTGAAGAATATTAGAATTTGGTGGTCAAAGGTCAGTGTGACCTCACAAAACATGTTCTTGTCCATAACTGAAGAATTCATTCACTAATTATGACAAAACTTGACACAAATGTCTAACAGGATAAAATAATGAAGGTCAAAAGGTCAAAGGTCAGCTTGACTGTGACATCATCATGTTGTAACGTCATATCTCAGGAACAGAAGGGGAGACATTTGGTCAGATACTGAATTGGTGACTCTAATCTTGAAACTGTGCTGATTGTGTAGATCTTGTGTGTGTGAAGCATCCATGTTTTCACTGACATGGATGGAGACTGTCAGAGACACTGGACTGGTGGGCGGAGTCACACAACCACGGGGTGATAATTGTAGTTTAAGTGTAGTCAAACACTATCACCTTACAATCCGGTCACCCAAAACACATTTTCGTGTCAGGTGTGAAGGAGGTCTGTCTCCTCTGGTTTCTGACTCTGAGAGAGGAGCTCATGTTCACAGCTCATGTTTCCTCAAACATGGAAATAACATATTGAAATTCTTAATGAGTGGTGTTCCTATTTCATTTCTTAATCATATACAAACCTGAATGATCAGTCTTGTTTGTCTCTGTAGTCTTAGATTCATGTATTTCGTTACAGAGCTGCTGTCAGGAAGTCGACACATCAAACGCAGCATCATGTCAGTTGCAAACCCTCCTTCCCACTAGCTTCGTTATACTCAAGTTGTCAAGTCGCAAAGAGGGGCGTTCACGGCTCGTCTTCTTCTTTAAACACAAATCAAGTCAAAACATGTTTCCCACAAGTGTATCTTAAGAAATGGAGACACTCTGGAGTCTTCTGATCCTGAGAGTGGACACGTCTGTCAGTGACTCAGTAACATTTCAGTCATTTTCTACAAAACTCATGAAGTGTTTTGTGTCTGTGTTTCTGTGCAGAATGGAAACCCACAGAACCCGTACTGCAACGGCATTGAGGGGGTGATGGAGGCCTATTACCAGAGCCTCAAATCTGTGCGTCTCTACGGACCCACCCACTTCTCCCCTGTTATTAACCATGTGGCCAGGTAGGTCCACTGTAATCACAGCCGGGGACGTGGTCGGCTGACACACAACACAAATGTCACAGAGTACAAAGCCGCCATGAGAATGTTCTGCTTCAGTGACACTGCAGCCGTGTGTGTGTGTGTGTGTGTGTGTGTGTGTGTGTTTGTGTGTGTGTGTGGGCTGCTGGACGGCAATCTGTGAAGCAAAGGGAGGAGATTAAAATAAATGTGCTGATAGCTCCGTCACCTAAGAGGAGTCAATACTCACTGTTACAAGTGCAGCGACAGTCTTCAGGAGGAGACCAGGAGCTGCCTGAAGGATCTGAGAAACAGAAAATCCCAAAGCACGGCAGAAGAAAGAAAGAGTTGTGTGGTTAACAGATAATGTCTCACCTCCCACCATCTCACAAATAAACAGTAAATGAATCTCCACAGACCCGAGCAGAAAACACGTACCGCCGCTTCACTATTAAAAACAGCATTAATGAGAGACGTGTGGGCCCTCAAGTGCAATTACATTTTTATTGGAGCAACAAATCATAAATGCAGAAACGCTCCGCCACTGTTTTAAATATTAAAAACAAATAATAGACACTTCTAATAGAAACTACAGGAAACTGTCAGCAGCACTCAACCAATTTACACCAATCCCCTCTGATACAACGTCATATGCTGGTTTGTAATACAGTACTTCCCGACCTCCATCTGATGTTCCCGACTGCCACATCTCGTCTCATGATCCTCAAGATCGACTGGAACAAGCACTTTTCCCACCTTTCATCGTTGGCTTTTAAATTCCATCTCTTCCTCTCTGTGAGCACCGTCCGCCCACTCAGCCTGAGAATAGCTGCATTGTTCAGCCTCACTTCTGCCGAGCTTCTGACTTTAACCCAGGAAGACACTAAAAAAAAAAGTGACACCAAATTGCGTCGGATTCTTAATACTCCGACTGTGTGTGTGTGTGTGTGTGTGTGTGTGTGTGTAAGAGAGTCATTTAATATACGATCAAAATATGATCCTGTGACATCACTGCAGACGTTTCACTCTGGTTTATATAAAAGAAAACTGAAGTAAATGTTAGTTTAGAGCTGAGAAACAGACCTGACTGTTGGATGTTCAACTCTAAAGCATAAACCATACTGTTTCTAATTCATCCTGTACAGGGTTCTCCTATAAACCATGTTCAGACTCATACAGAGGTCACGTACAGTATGACCTGCTCTCAGTGTGTGTTGGTGTATTTATCTGCAGAGACTCTGCCTGGATTTACTTATTTTGTCCTTATTTTGCTGTGGTCAGTACGTTCCTGTGCACAAGGTGCAGGTAAAGGCAGGGACTGTATAAAAGTGTAGCGACCAGGTGGCAGCAGCAGGCATTCAAGAGGAAGCTACAAAAAATGTGGACACAGTGCATAAAAAACAAAACAAATCCCCGCAGATAAAGCCAATGAGAGTGAATGTGGGGTCGACTTTCACTTCCTCTGGAAATACTGTTTATTATATATTATATATATTATATTATTATTATTAGTATATGATTCTTGGCATAAAAGACACATATAAAATACTGCGTACTTAAAGTATATACTGTATTTTCTTAAATAAATGAACTGCACTTGTACAGATCCTTTCTAGCCTTCTGACCACTCAAAGTGCTTTTACACTACATGTCACATTCACCCATTCACACACTGTTGGCCGAGGCTAACATACAAGATAAGATAAGATAAGATAAGATAAGATAGACTTTATTGTCCCAAAGGAAATTTGTCTTGGGTACATGCGGTACCTGCCGTTAAAAGATACAAAAGTTATACATACAGTTCCTACATCTACACAGTTCACACACAGAGTTGTGGCTGTTCACAATCCCACACACTCAGTACCTTCAGTACACGTACAGACCTCCATCAGCCAACAGACTGCACACTGCCCGGTGCACCACACATCTGTTTTACATAGACGTGTGGTGCACTGAGCAGCCACCTGCTACTCAGTAAACATTCACACACACTCACACACTGATGAACAGCCACCAGGAACAATTTGGGTTTTGCAATCTATAAAAACAGAGTTGATGGAGAAACTTTGACCCATGCTGACCAACATTTTGGAGACAGGAAATTGGCGATGCAGATGGTAAGGTGGAGCCTGATTGTAGAAACTGTCAAATCTGTTTTGGCGCACGCCATTTTTGGCTTTTGTCTAGTTTGTTCTTACTCACTGTTTTAAAAATGACACCAAAGGTCTCGTGCATGGTAACTAAAAATAATGTACATCTACATGACTTTAATTCAATAAATTTAACAATATAACAGTGAATCAGAAATAACTGCCTCTCTGATAAGAGCATATTTCAAATAAAGGTCTGGCATCCTCTGCAGTAAAGGTAAATAAAGGCCCCGCCCACTATTAGAGAATATACAGTATGCAGGAAATGTCAGTTACTGTGTATGAACACAACATTCAGACTTGGCCCCTCCTCCCTTCACTGCTTAACGACACTGCAGGCTAATGTAGGAATGTTAAATTTGTTGTAATGGAAAATCCGCTACTGGAGCAGGCTAACTGAGCTAACTGCTGACACCTTCCTGTCCAACAGGAAACAGGACAACTCAGCGTCTCTCCCATGTCTTTTTCACTGCTCACCAGTGAAAGTGCAACTGAAAGCCAGATTCGCTCTCGTTACTGAACACATGCTTTGCTCGCTTTGTGTTTCCTCTAACTGTATATGCATTTTTGTAGCTTCCTTTTGGATGCTGCGTACAGTATGGTTACTGGTTGCTATCTGTTTACAAAGTCCCACCTCACCTGCACGCTGTGCCCAGCAAAGTGTCAAACACAGCAAAATTATAAAATACAGGCAGAGGGTAGAGTCTCTGCAGATAAATACACCACCACACTGAGAGTGGATCATATGTGGTCATTTAGAGCGATTACTTTAGTCTGTACATGTTTTTTAAGTATATACTCAATGCTTTAAATACTTAAAATATTAATTTTCACGATCAATAACTAGATTCTCATTTTACCTGGCGTACATTGTTCAGGCTCAGCACTGATACTCGCTCTGTAATTGGACCATTTGTTCTGGATAAAATAGGATTGATTTCATTGATCACTGAGGGGCAATAATCTAATACAGGATGTTATGTGATGATGTAACTGCAGCAGTGATGTGGTTTGAGACAGTCTCTGATGTAGGTCGAGCTCCAGAAACACTGGATCCTACACTTCCCATAATGCAACACTTTCTGTTTGTCTTTAAACTCTGAGCCTGTATAGAAAAAGAGTTTTACCTCTGAGCTGGAGCCAAAATAACAGTGGTGACATCCTCAGAGTTAATTTCTCTCAGACTTTATAAAACTCCTGCAGAGTCACAGAAGACGTTTAACAACTGTTTCAAAGGTTGAGTCATCTTGAGTCTTCGTCCTCGTCGCCTGTTAGTTGGTCCTGATGTGTTAAATCAGTGGAGTGACCTTTTTAAACGAACACAGAGAGGTGGATCTCAGCAGAAGAGAAAAGTCAGAATATCTGTTTTAATGTTAATAAAGTGTTAAAGAAGTGTCAGTTTACTTTGGCTTTAACGAAGTTACAGCTTCCTGGATGAGAGCAGGTCCTGAACAACATCTGATCGTACGTTAACCCTTTAACTAATAAAGTTAAACTGAACAGAGACGAGCTGACTGTCGTCACTGCTCACAGTCAGAGAAACAGATCAGCGTCTGACTGTACTGATCTGTTTAACTGATCTGTTAAACCAAGTTACTGACTCCCGTTAGACAGTAAATAAGTGTTTTAAATATCTTTGGTTTTTAGAACATACTTGTGTTCGGCCATGTTGTCGAGCTAACTGCTGTCTCTGTTAAGTAGCTGTCAGTTAGTCACACACTCTAATATAATTAATTTCTTTTTCAGTCCATTGCACCTGTGGACCTGTCGCTCATGTGACCTTTGACCCTGTGTCTCTCTCCTTCTTTGTCTCAGGTATGCTTCAGCGGTGACGGACGGCTCCCAGTACTTCATTCTGCTCATCATCTCTGACGGTGTCATCACAGACATGGCGCAGACCAAGGAGTCCATCGTCAATGTACAGTACCACATTTAGACTCAATTTATCTTCTCTGTGTTTCAGTGTTTAAACTTAAAGACATTATGAAGCTAAAAACCATCTCACCCAGCAACATGAACAGAAGGCAGTGACAGTATCATGGAGGGCAGCGGTTGATGCTCTGTACGCTCGTATTCATTCAGTTAATTTACTGTAAAACATGTGAGGAGCCCCCGAGGGTTCAGCTCTGATTAAACCTCTAATGGAGACCCTAATCAACCAACAAGCAAACATTATGAAGCTGTCCGTCTCCTTCAGTGCGTCTCTTTCCCCCTCTGCTCGTCTTCACTAATGAGGAAGAGTGGGCCTGGTCACCCCCTCCCCCCCGATCCTTCGATGTTCAGCTCTAATAACTATGCTTTCTAATTAGAGAGATCACAGTTAATGTGTGTAATGATTTTTCATATATTTGGAGCCTCAGCGGCCTCCTCTCCCACTGCCCCCTTCCCTTTCCCCCCTCCTCCCCGCCGTGTGATGTAATGTTATTGTAAAGTAAGATTCCACAGTAATTATTTACTCTCCTGCGGAGGATCCGTGCCCTTCATATCTCAAGCAATTTGGGCGTCGGTCTAATAACCAGGGGAAGTTATGAAACACTAAAAAAAGCCTTCATTCATCATTCATCACTCTGACTGTACTCTGCTGTCCCACTCGGCCAAGATTTAATAAACAATATTGCGATGCAGGGCAGAAGTTCAGCGGCGGCTCGGGGCGGAGGAAGATGTAAATGGGAGTCATTTTTAAGCTGTCAAGCTTTGGGAGATTTAGACAAAGTTGTAGATGCATGAAATTAGAAAACTCTGGCCGGATGAGAGGCTTTATGAAAGTGTCTGCAGAAGCCAGATGGATTTGGACAAACTCCGTCTGTCTCAACAATGGCATCGGATTTTGGCTATTGAGCTTCCTTTGTGTCGACTGTTAGCGTACACTTCGTCATTTTACTGACAGCCTGCGGCGTTTAAGATAGCACATGGTGAAAAGGACGGGTGCTGCTCCTTCCCCCTCTTTGATGAGCCTGTTTTGTCTCCTCCTCCCTTTACAGGCTGCATCTTTGCCCATGTCGATTATAATAGTTGGGGTTGGCCCAGCGGAGTTTGACGGTAAGCAGGGTGACGATCATGTGCACGCTTTATGTGGAGCTGTGTGGTATTTGCATGCAGTAATCCTTCGCCTTCATTCTGCTTCCTATCTCGCCTCCCACACGCTTCAGCCCTTCTTTTCTTCTCTCCTCCATTCTGCTCCCCCTTAATTTCCCTCCTCCTCCTCCTCCTCCTCCTCCTCCTTCTCTGAGGTTAAGTGGATGGGAGGATTCTCATTTGTCAGACCAGAGGTGGTGTATTTTCTGGCCCTGTCTCTTCTCACCTCTCCTCTGTGTGTTTGTCATGTTCACATTTACAGTTCAGTCCTCTGTAAAAACAAACTCACTCATGATGAGCAATGAGCTGCAGAGTCGACGGGATCTCACCAATTGTCACGCTTTATGAAGTCAGTGTGCACGGTTGCATGATGTCCCCGCGGTGCACATTGCCGCGCTCTGCTTACACACATTACAGCATGTTTTTCCCCTCCATGTGCACGGCTGTGTGCCGCTCACGGCCCGCTGGCTTCACGCTCAGCGACGCAAATTCAGTGTACTCACGCCGCGTTTGGCATCGCCAACACACGGAGGAGATGTAACGCAGCAGCACGCTAATGGCTCCAGCAGATTCAAACACACACACTGTGTGTGTGTGGTGTGTTTGCGTGACATGGCTGCTCCAGTTCTCCTGACAGGCCTTGACTGATGTGCTTCCCTCCTCAGAGATGATCGAGCTGGACGGGGACGAGGAGAGGATCTCGTCCCAAGGACGATACGCTGAGAGGGACATTGTTCAGGTACACACAGAAGAAGACGAAGACATGTCTTCAGAGACATGTGGGAGTTATGATTAATGGGACAAAGGTCACAGTGTCTGACCCCCTGCTGTCCTCCTGTCCTCCTCCTGCTGTCCTCCTATCCTCAGTCTGCCGTCTCTCTGTCCTCCTCCTGCTGTCTCACTCCTCTAAACTATACCCACTGTCTCCTCTCCTCTCCTCTCCTCTCCTCTTCTGTCCTTGCATCCTCTCCTCTCCTCATCTTGTTTGTCTCCTCTCATCTCATCTCCTCTACTCTCCGTGTCTCTTCCTCTGTCCTTGTTTTCTCCCCTCTTCTCACCTCGTTACTTATTTGTTCTTGTTTCCTCTCCTCTTATCACCTTGTCTCCTCACCTTTTCTCCTCTCCTCTCCACAGTTCGTTCCTTTCAGAGACTACATCGACCGGCGTGGAAACCACATCCTGAGCATGGCTCGCCTGGCGAAGGAAGTACTGGCAGAGATCCCGGACCAGTTCCTGTCCTACATGAGGACCCGAGGGATCAAACCGGGCCCCCTGCCGCCTCCATACACCACCTGTCCTCCACCGGCTGTCCACCCGCTCCTCTGCAGACGGGTAAGCCGAATCTAAAGGCCGAGGCCTCGCTCCGACGCCGGCCAGCCAACTCTACTGGTCTCTCCTCTCCTCTCTCTGCTTCTTCTTCTTCCTACTCTTCACTGGAAGCTTCTGAGCACACGGCGACATCGGCCGCTCTCTCATGTTGCACTTTCGGAAACGTTTGGCCGCAAGCCGTGGGTGTGATGCGGAAAACCCCCGAGTGGGATGCTTTCACTTTTCCGAAGAAGGGACTTTTCCTGTAGTGGATGAAGGAGGGGGTATGAAGGGTCATGGTGGGGGTATGACATCACTACCCTCCACCAGGAAGTGTGAGCGGGACAGAAATGGACCACAGGAAGCTGTCAGACTGAAACTGGTCCAAACTGGGAACACTGTTCATCTGCTCTTTCTATTTCCACTTCCTCTTTCTCTCACAATATCTCAATATATAAATGTTTACAAGTTTGAGGACGAAGGTGGAGATGTTTTTTCAGGAGGAAATTTTTACCACTCAATGTGAAAACCTTTCAGATTCCTATTTTTCGGCTGCAGAAACTGGAGGTTGTGACTTTGTACAAAAACGTTTTCGGCCCTGGCGCCGTGGTCTTCATTACAGAGTGTGTACGTTTTCTTTTTTTAATAAATGGAGCATGTGCTAGTTTAAGAGAAGCATGCACTGTTGTCCTGCACTCAGGGCTTTGTCCCTCCCACACAGCCCCCCCTCCCACCACCACCACCACTGCCATATTTCATTAAGAACAAACCCATCATCGCCCACCTGAAATCTTCCCACGCTCCGACCTTCTGCTCCGTCCACCTGCCTTGACTCAAAAGGAGTCTGGTCCAATCAAATACAGCAGGGACTTGAACCAGCCTTACTCTTACATTCACAGGCACCGTGTCCACCGTGGGTTCTGGAAATGTGGATCTCCAAGCCCAGAAGTCAAAAACACACATCTCACTACCGAACCTGACTGTGTGTTAACGTTTTAGAGTCTCTTTATTTTCATGGAACATTCAGATGCATTTTTCTGTTCAGTTTGACGTCTCTCTACCTCTCACTTTGTTTAATATTGCCAAAAAAACCTGTTTGGTGTGTCGGTCTGTAGAGTTCACGCTTTCACCTTCTCACGTAGGATTCATAGAATATTTGCCAAACTGTAGGTTGAGAATCGAAGCACTTTGGTAGCTATCAGATCAGGTGACTCACACCTTAGTGTTAGAAACACACTGTGAATACGTGCACAGAAAAACAAACCAACAAACCAAAATGCAAAGATGCTTTTTGTTTTTATTAGCAGCTCCCCATCCTGATCAGAGGAGTGACTGTGAGCTCAGATTTTAGTTCCATGTTTTCCAACTATATTGTCACTAAAAGTAATAATCAGTCTGGTAGCAGGTCGCTAATCGCCTCCTTAAAGGAACAGTCGACAGAAACATGAATGATTTCAGTACCAAACTCACCTCCTGAAGGCTTGAAGGTGGCTCTGAAGGCAGCAGCTGTTCTCACATCAGAATTACGACACTTAAAATGGATTCCACAGACGCTCACTCACCATTTTATAATCAATTCAATTAGATCTCTAAGTGTGATAGTCACCGACAGCTTTTTCTTCCAGATGGAGAAACAACTGAGCTCCTCAGAGTTTTATTAGTGCGACTGAGAATGTGTCATTTTCCTAAAAAATATGACGACAGAAAAATTACCTCCAAATTGACGATGTACATGTATGAAACTGACACAGCTGTACAGGTTGTGATAAAACGACTTTCAACGAATTTCTAAAACCCCGAAAACCTTTTTATTTTCTCAGTCAGCGTCTTCCTGTGGGCAGTGAGGTCAAAGACACTTCAATGGAGAGATTTCTGTGTATTTTGCTTTTGTCTGTGCTATCTTTGCTGGTTTGAGGTGGGCGGGGCTTAGCTGGGATAATGTAACGTCACATGCTTCCATGCACCAATCACAGTTTAACAATGTTTGAATCAAATGCAGTGACAGTATTGTGGTTGCTTGTTTCGTCAGCTCTGTCAGTCAGATCTGATCAAACACTCAGTCCTGTTGAGGCAGATTAACTGAAAACTAAATGACCGTGTCATTTGATCGTCAGGTTAACGAGATCACAGTTTCATGGTGAAAAACAAATCCATATAAAAAGTTAATATAAACAATCTATCCTGGAGCATAATCCACTCCTTTGTCATCCAGTCAGTATTTAGAGAAGTGTGTAGCTGCAGAGCTGCAGGTCTGGACTCACCTCCTGCATCAGGCTCTTTCACATCCCGAGCTTGAAGAAGGAAGTCTGAAATTGTGTGAGCTCACTGGAGACGATCAGAAAGATAAGATAGCATGCGTTCTTTAGTTTGAATAAACCACACCCCCTCAACCACTAACACCAAGGAAACAACAATATTATGTATAAATGTAGAACGTTAGCTCATGAGACATTAAGCAGCAAAATAGTTGTACGAAGTGCTAACCTTAGCTAGCTATGCTTAGGTTGCTAAGGTGTTTACTAAAATTAGCTGAAACGATGTTAGTTTGCTAACGACAGTAGCATATGTAGCTAATGTTAGTACAACTTATTTGCTGCTTAATGTCACGTGACCTCACTTTATACGTTACAGATATATTGGTATATTAGTTTGTATTGGTGTTACTGGTTGAGGGGGTGTGGCTTATTCAGACTGATGATAATTATCTTTTAAACATACAATACGTTTATTCATTAGTGACCTCACAAAATATGTTTTGGCCCTAACCGAAGACTTCATATGCTATTTATGACAAAACTGAAAGGGAGACATTTTATATCGAAAAGGTCAAAGGTCAGCTTGACTGTGACATCGTCATGTTGTAACGTCACATCTCAGGAACAGAAGGGGAGACATTTGGTCAGATACTGAATTGGTGACTCTAATCTTGAAACTGTGCTGATTGTATAGATCTTCTGTGTGTGAAGCATCCATGTTTTCACTGACGTGGATGGAGACTGTCAGAGACACTGGACTGGTGGGCGGAGTCATACAACCACGGGGTGGGCTGGTGGGCGGAGTCATACAACCATGGGGGTGGTGGTTCTGGTTTTGTCTTGACACTGGGTCTCCATTAGAATCTACTGTAACTGTTGTGAATCCAAACTAACCACAGCTGCTGTCCTCTGTAAGTGAGTCAGCTACCTTAACTTCTCGAGCCTCCAGGTTGTGAGTATGTGACATTCATGACCTCGTTGTTTTAGATTTTTCCCCTAATGAATATGAAAACACTCAAACCCTAAACAGGTATTTGCACTGTCACTTTTAGGAAAGTTTCAGGGTGAAACTCAGATGCAACTTTTTGCTGTTTTGCCCATTAACGTGTACATGAAAACTTTACAGTGTGACTTTAAACGAAGCACAAAACATTTGCTTTTAGAGAAGCTCCAGCCGCCGTATCCCCCCATAACTCCTGTAAATGTGTGAAGAACAGTGTTTCTACATCCGACTGTGTGTTTTACAAACTGTAGATCCTATCAGAACTTTTTAGGGCCCTATTCAGTCAAGGAATCAATGTAAGAGACGGTTTACAACATTTTTCTAAACGTACGCCTCAAATCATCTTGGCTGTTGACGCTTCATTAAAACTTATTAACTGCTTGTAAAACATTTTCTTAGACATTTATACACTGTACAAATTTTGCCTTTTTTGTGTATTGGTGGATATAAACTGTTTATGTAATGCTGCTTCTCTACTGCTGATATACGTATTACATTTTATACTGAGGCCTGTAATCATATTTAAATCATGACTAACAGGCCTTATTCATGTTTATACATAAGTTATTCATATTTAAATCATGAACGACAGGCCTGTATTTTTTTATGTAAGCAAATGGTTGGATAATAATGTCTGTTTCATGTGTGCCAGATGTTTAAAGTAGACCTGATGAACAAGTAAACACTCTGTAGCAACAGTTTTCTGCCAAATTCAGAATCTCTTGTTAAGTGTAGCATCTCATTGTTGGCTGAGACTCATTCCAGTAAAGCTGGTTATTCAGTTTTACTGAATAGGGTCCCTTAGCGTGGGGCCGGGGGGTCTGGTAGGTTTTGTACTCTTCTGTTGTTTCATGGCGGGGCCCCTGCCCGACAGTGGGGATGTTGAATTGCACAATGTAGCACTGGTGTCTGGTACCGGACTGGAGCAACACCAGACTGAACCAGATCCACCCAGATCAGGCTGGAACAGTCTTTTTATATGTACATATATATATCTCTATATCCTGTATATACTGTACGTATGATTTGTGGAGAGTTGACTTGCAGCGAACTGCCAGGACTCTGTGACTCTCCTCCTGAAACACAAGGCAGGGCCTTTCATTTATTCATCACGACACGATGTCAGCGTCATCTCACAGCCACGCTCTCGTATACACTGTACATCCAGGACATGTATTTGTATATGAAACATGCATGACACTTACATAACGAGGCTGGGGATGAGTGAAGATGAAGAGTTTCACGCTTGTTGTCTCAGAGAAACAGTCATTTCAGTGTCGTGATGTTTGATCTCAGTATTAACACTGTTAAAAGCAGAGTTTCTCAACCTTCTGTCCGGGAACACACATCACAGGATATCAAGCTCAGTGGGGTGTAAGATATTCTGTTCAAAAACTTGGACTCAATATGAAATGTGTAAAAACTAAAAGGCAATTGGTTCACAAAAATTTAAATTCCTGTCCATCCATCCATTTTTATCCTCTTATCCGGGGCCCAGCCTGGGCAAAGTACCCCAGACCTTCCTGTAACTAGTGACACTTTCCATTTACAGAGCTTCCTAGCACTAAGAGTTGCTCCTCGTGACAACATTCTAAGAAAATTCTTAGAATTGTGACATTTTTTCAGAGCTCTCTGAGAGAGGTCTCAGAATGTTTGTGAATGTTGTCGCTGATCAGATGTTGAACTACCTGAACTGACCCCTAAGGTTGCAGTAGTATGAGATTTTAATGGTATGATAACCATCTCAGAAAATATCGCAGTTTCACTGTATCACAGTGCTACAAAATTCTAATTATTATTGGTCAGAGTGATCCTTAAATGAATTAAAACAGAAGGGTTATTTTAGGTTAAACAAACATTTTATCACTAAAATTGAAAATTGAAACCATTTTGTTAATGGAAGTTTGTGTAAAAAGTTGAAAATAACACAAAGGGGAGATTTGCACTCCAATTAAAATTCTTTTTTCAGTATTAAAGATAAGCAAATGTACGCGGTATGGTCACTGTCAATTTTAGAATCAAGGTATACCTCAAAACCAGTATATCACTGCAACCCTACTGGCTCCAGTCAACACGAAGGAGCAGCAACTCTACTCCGAGGGAAACACTGGGGGGTGAACGTCCCCAAATCGTGACCTGTGACCCCAAAAACTAATGTTGTTGGTTGTATGATGGGTGACCTCTTTTAATATTAAGCTAAGTGAGCTTTGTGAGTTTGTTAGCTGGAGATGCTGATGATTTCAGCTCAGATAAAAAACATTTACACATTTCTTCACTTCACTTTTTTATGTTTTTGCAAATGACAGAAACCAAATTCAGCCCTCGTATCTCTCTTTCAGCAGCCGCTCGCTTTAACATGGAGAGAAATCTGAAGCCTGACGGGTCCAACATACCTGTGGATGCTATGCTATGATTGGACAGTTGCTGTACAGGGGAGGGGTTTAACAAACTGTCAATTTATTTAACAGAACGTTTGAAACATTAAAAACAGATCAGCCCTGTGAGAGGTTGAGAAACTCTGTCCAGATGGCTACAAAGCCACAGAACACACCTCCATGTCTGCCATATTATTCTGTGATGTGCAGTATAGATATGACAGCATGGAGATCTTTTCTCTGGCAAGCGTGGATTTGCCCCGAGGATGAGGACGAAGACGTGAACGCTGTTTGCACAGGATCTCAGTGGAAGTCTTAACATATACGGCTGGGTTTGTCACGTGTGGCTGCAACGTGTGAAGTCACTGTTCCTCTGAGGCTGCGTCAGTGTAGGAGTGACAATCAAAAGCATTTATTGTGTAGGAGACTACAAGGCAAATAAACAAACAAATAAATAAAAACAGGCCTGCGCTTCTAATGGACAAACAAGCTTTAATGAAGTCGGCTCATACACCTCGCTGCCTCCCATCGCTCATCTTCATCCATGTCACTCTGCCAAGGCGGTATCGTGTCAGCATGCCAGGCCATATGAACGCCCACGTAATCTTCACACATACAACATGAACGCTGTTTACTGTACCTTATAATATTAATAGGTGGTTTAACTGAATGCTCGTGATGAATATCCTGTTTTATTCTGATGTTTTTTTAATAGCATGCATTAAGTTTGCATGTGTAGATTTTTTTCTAACAGTGATGCATCGATGCGTTAAAAAAATAATTGTAATATGACATCTTTACATGTTATTCTGGAGTATTTTAGAAACTTTTTTGCCTTAAAAATCTCACTGATCAATCTTGGAATTGTGCAATGCCTTCAGATGTTTCTTTTGGAGACTGTTGTTTTTCTGTTTTGGTTCGCTTGTGCACAGCCACTCATCAGACATCATCTCACAGCATTGTTCTCTCAGCTCTCAGTGGTTGAAGTGATGTGAATAAGAGGGAGAATGATTCCAACGGAGGGAAGGAAAGAAAAAACTGGGCTGTCTCGCTCTCAGCAAAGAGACAGAATCATTCAGCTGAGAATAATGCGGCCCAGCCTTGTAACAGCCATCTTTACTACAGAATGGTGTTTTATTATGCCACGATTCATCCACCCAAAATTCATCAGCTCTTATTTTTCATCAGCCCTCAGAGGAGTGATTCATGGCTTCTGCATGATGCTTGTGATTACACTAATCAAAATGATTTGTCCATTGAAACATAATAATGTATTTAAGATCAGTTACTGAGGTTAGTGATGTGTTAACAGACAGCACAGGTTTTACTCTTCTTATAGGAAATATGGAAGCCACTAAAGATCAATTTAAATGACTATTTCTGTAAGAATTGGAGTCTTTAAATAAATAAATATTCATATCAAACCTGTTTCTGTTGTTTCTGTCACTACAGGATGAAAAGACAACACCATGAACATGTCGGTCTGTACTGTGGCCTGTTTTAAAACACAGAAACCAATATTGTCTCCTGTTAGAGACGCTCTCCATGTTGATAGGCACCTTTCCTGTTCTGTTCAAACAGCAGCAGCACACTGGAATAGATGTACTTCACACTATTGCACCTTTAAAGTGTTCATCTGAAGATCTGAGACATTACAGCAGGATGACAGGCCGTCCTGTTCCAGAGAAACCACAAGAAATGTGGCTGAGAAACGCAGCCTCTTTTGTATCTGAACTTTGAGGACAAAATCTGTGTCGTCTATTGTAGCATCGGTATTCTGAAACCTAAAGCAGGACAAAGAATAAGACTTTCTTCCTGTCAACAAATGCCATAAACAGACCAAAATAAACAATGTGTCCATCTCTCATTACATCCCAACCCTGTCTGTGACAGCTGGTTCAGACTGAAGAGGCTCATCTTTAGGTTCAAGTCACACATTTTAGTTTTATTTAGACAAAAACCTCACTAAACACCTGAACAAAAACTCTGTGGCACAGAGGACTGATCTCTGTCAGGCTTTGCAGCAGAACTACATGGGGTACAGACATGACACATCTCGTAGGCGGGGCAGAGTGGGGTGTTTTACACGCTACACAAACTCTGTCTTTGTAGTGTGTGTTAGCTGCATGCTTCACTGTGTGTGTATTGTGATATTACAGTCTGTAATGCAGGGTTTGGAAACATGTGCGCTATATTAACTATTACTGCATTAATCAACTGGGCAGGTTGCCAGGTTGAAGGGAGGACTGACACATAGAG